CAAAGCTCACTTAAAACACGAGTTAGCTCATGAAAGCCTCAAACCAGGGCTTGAGATCAGTTTGAACCAGTTCAATCACTTTTGACAAAGCGAAATCTGAACAGAACTGCATTTCTTTTATATGAGTGAAGAAGGAAGACAGCTGGAAAGGGAGACAGTGGAAGCCTTGCAGTGGGACACTCAGTGGGGAGATGGTGAGTCTTTTCAGGAGCCTGGTGCATGCTGGGTTATTGACACACCTTCACACCTGCATGTTTGGCCACCATCTTTGAGCCAGACACTGTTGTTTCTGACTCTGCCAGTGAAGGGACTCTGCACAAATGATTCAACACCAGAGTTGCCCTGTTTTCTTGGAGATTGAGTTTCAGTTCTCTTTCCAGTTCACCTGCATTTTAAAAATTCTTAACCACTTTAGTTTCATTTTGTCAGCCATGACAGAACTGGAAAGAACTATTTCAAAGCCCTGCCTCGAACAGCTCCTGTGGGGTTATGCTATTATTATCATCCCCATTTTAAAGATAAATGAACAGGTTTGGAGAGACTAAGGAACCAGATTATACAGTGTGAAAGAAGCACAAATTTAAGAGCTTACTGGTAGCTGGATTTTGGGGGTGAGGCTGAGGAAGGGGTCTGAGGAGAAGTCCAGCTTTTGGCATCGTAAGGGGGGCAGTGCCATCTATGAGGTCCAAACCCTAAGGATTAGGGGCCAGGGAGGGTAAATAAGGAGTTTGGATGTGTTGAATGTGGGCACTTTTGTGACAAACAAATGTCTGCTGGAGAATTAGACAGGAATTGTGGACACAGCAGTGGTGCTTAAAGCCATAAACAAGGTTGAGCTTGGCCAAGGATCCTGGAGAGAGTGAAAGAGGAGTTAGCCCAGAGGAACTTCAACATAAAGGGCAGTGGAAAGAGAGCAGCTGGTGAAAGAGTAGCAAAAGGAGGGAGCAGCTGGGGTTGGAGAAGAAGCAGATGAGTGGTGGGGTATGAGTGTCAGGGCACAGGAGGTTTAAAGGACATGATAAAGGGAAAGTGGAGGATGTTGAAGAAACTGAGTTGAAAAGTGGCCACTGGATGCAGAGAACAAGGGTCAATAGCTTTGACAGAACCATTTTCATAGGACAGTGGAGACAAGTGGGAAGCAAGGAAGCCAGGAGAGAGTGAAATTGTGCTTTCCACAGCTCAGCTGTGAAGGTGAAGGAGAGAGCATGTTACCACAAAGCTGCTGCTTGAAAACCAGTTTCAGAGACGGGTGAGGTGGAAGAGCAAAAACATTGTTGTATCTTGTATACAGGAGGCAAGAGCAGGGGGTGGTTGGTAACAAGCAGGCGGAGCTTACTGTTGAGAAATTAATTTCTTCTTTTAGCATTTTAAAAACACTTCACTTGGGCCATTTTCTGTTCAATAAAGCTTCTGCAACAAAAAAAAAAAATAAAATAAAAACACTTCACTTGGAACCTCATTCTTAGTAACTGAATCCTACTGAGAATTTGCAAAATACCGTCAAGCTTCAGTTATCCAGAATTCTTGGCAGATTAATCACCCTGGAAAACTAACCTTTGAGTGAAAATATTTGAAATATAAAGAGTCTTTATCTTTGAAAATTTTTATTCTGGAAATTATCAAACAAATACAAGTAGAGAGGGAAGTCGAATAACTACCTTCCAAGGCTATAAACTCAAGGCAAATCCGCCATCCATTCTTCAAGAAAATGGAATATTTTGAAGCAAGTTTTAAGTATTAATTCTGCATAGATCCTTAGTATATTTCCATAAAAAAAACTTCTAAAATGCATCCATATTACCATGATTACCCTTAAGATTTTTAAGCAAACCCACTGTCATCAAATTGACTGCAAGTCATAGTAACTCCTATAAAAGGGTAGAGTTATGCTCCCTGGCTTCTCAACAGCTGGTCTTTTGGAAGCAGATAGATCTTTCTTGCAAAACCCCACCTCGAACAATTCTTGTGGATTTCTACTATTACTATTCCCCCTTTACAAATAAGGGAACGGGCTTGGAGAGATCAAGGAACCAGATAACACAGTATAGAAATGTCAAGAGCAAATTTAAGAGTTTACTGGTCACCAATCCTAGAGGTTGGGGTTTACAATGCACTGCACTAAGTAAGAAAGTTTAGCCATGGTGTTAACATTTTTGGGGCAACAAAGTTCAGTTTATAATGAGCAAAGTGTAAATGGCCTTAGGAGAGACTTGAGTCTCCCACAAAAAGAAGGGGGATTTTATACCTCAGGCAAAGAAGGGCAACCTGGTGATGGGACCTCCAAGGCCACCCTAGCAAGTGTTACCTCATCAGAGTGGCTGAACAGCAGAAGTCAGCTGGCAACAAGCACGAGTGTAGGCACGTTTGATCCCAAAATGCCCTGTTTCCCTTTAAAAACACTTCCTCAAAGTGACTGTAAAAGTAATCAATACTGTCAAAATTTAAATTTAAAAAAAAAAAGTTTAGTAGGGACGAGGAAGAGCAAGGAGTCGGGAGAATTTCAACTTCGGACATCAGATGGTGAGTAGGGTCAACCACGAAAACAAGGCTCTGAAGGATTAGGGTGGCAGAGAAAAGGAGCACCAGGATAGATGTTTGAGTCTGAGGGTGTTTGTGACACCCATGCAGAAATGGTCCCTGGAAATTAGAGATGCCTGAAGAACCTCTAACCTTTTGATGAACAATTTGTGCCATTTAGGGACTATATTTTTGACACTGTTGTTTGTTGTGTACCTAAGGTTGGAACCAATCTATACCTAACACTCGGTGGGTTAATCGCACAGGAGGAGATTGCCCACCTTTCTCCTGCAGAGCAACTGGTGCCCTCTAGTTTCTTAAAACTGTAATTAAATGCTGTCAAGTCAGCTATGACTCACAGCAAACCTATAAACTGTGGATTTGAACCCTGCCTTGTCCTGTGCCATCATCATCGTCTCTAACACCCTTGAGCCCACCATTACTATCCTTAATATTAATTGCTCAGATTTCCCCAATTGTCTCACTTTTTTCTTTGTTAGCTTTTGTTGGTTAAAATTTGGCTTCAAACAAAATCTATATGTCTTAAGATTGACCCCTTTTTATGCTATTTAATGACTTGTCAAAAAAAAAAAGACCCCAAGAAATGATGGAATACCAAATGAAGTATTTCAATAGATACTGTGCTGGATGTGCTCACCAGGTTGTACCAAGAAATCTGGAGGACAACTACCTGGCCAACTGACTGGAAGAGATCCATATTTATTCCCATTCCAAAAAAAGGTGACTCGACCGAGTGTGGATATTATGGTACAATATCACTCATATCACACACACACAAGGGAAATTCTCCTGAAGATTGTACAGAAATGACTGGAACAGTACATTGACAGAGAACTAGCAGAAATACAATCTGGGTTGTGAAGAGGCTGTGGCATTAGAGACTTTATCACCAATGTCAGATAGATCTTGACAGAAAGCAAAGTACCAGAGGGATATCTATCTGTGTTTCATTAGCTATGCAAAGCATGTAACTGTGTGGATCACAACAAATTGTGTCTAACCTTGAGGAGAATAGGAATCCCAGAACACTTGATTGCGCTTATGCGAAACCTACACTTGGACCAGGAAGCAGTCCTCAGAACAGAGCAGGGAAACACTGCATGGTTCAAAATCAGGAAGAGAGTGCATCAGAGATGCATCCTGTCTCCATACCTTTCAATCTATATGCAGAACAAATTATTCAGGCGGCTAGGCTTTCATGAGGAGGAATGTGGCATCAGGATTGGAAGAAGACTCATCAACAACCTACATTATGCAGATGACACAACTTTGCTTGCTGAAACTGAGGAGGACCTGAAGCTCTTGCTGTAGAAAGTCAAGGATTGTAGTCTTCAATATGGATTGAAGCTCAACATCAAGAAGACAAAACGTCTCACCACTGGGCCAATTGTCAGCACCATTATAGATAGTGAAGAAAACAGTCAAAACTCTTGGCATCAGCAGTCAGGAAATCAGAAGACAAATTGCATTAGGTAAATTTGTTGTCAGGGACTTTTCCATAGTACTGAGAAGCAATGATGTCAGTTTAGAGACTAAGGTGTGCCTGATCTAGGCCATGGTCTTTGCAATTACTTGCTATGCATCAGAGAGCTGTACAATGACTAAAGATGACAGGAAAAGAATCAATGTCTTTGAGTTGTAGTGCTGGAAAAGAGTCTTGAACATACCATGGACTGCCAAGAAAACAAATAGGTCTCTTTTGGACAAGGTTAAGCCAAGTTTCTCCTTAGAGGCTAGGATTTTGAAGTCTGTCTCACATACTCTGGGCACATGGCCAGAAAGGACTGGCTCTTGGAGAAGGACATCATGCTTTGAAGGGTGAAGGGAACAGCACAGGAGAGGAAGACCCCATGGGGATGAGTAACTGGGCAGGGGTAGGTGTGTCGGAGTCAGTGAGACTGGCTCAGGATAGGGCAGACTTAAGAGCTATTGTATATAGGGTCGCTATGAGTCACAGGCGACTCAACAGCACGTGGCAACAGCAATAATGAAGAAACCAGGCAGCTTGGAGAGATGAATGGGAATACGGGAGAGCTGGAGAGAAGGGCCAATGTAAAGAGACTGAGAGGAGGAGGGTTAGAGGTGGTGGTAGAGACGATGACCACACATAGAACATCCAAAGAAGGCAAAATGAGACTGTTCTCCAGCAAGGAGGAAAGCCAGGACTGTGGGGTCCCCACAGCTGCCAGAGCAAAGTGGGAGAAAGGCCTGAGCCCAGCAGCAAAGATGAGCCTGCTGAGTTGGTAAAAAAGTGCTAGAGGGAAGCTTGAATCAGGCTGGAGGTGCAGGGTGCAGAGCCTGAGGTCAGGCCTGCAAGGAACAGGATGTGTGAGGAAAGGGACAGTGCCAAAACTCCACTCCTAGCCCAGCCCCAGCTCCTCCCAGCTAGGCTGGGTAGCAGGAGCTCCTCCCTGGCCTCCCAGCTGCAGATCCACCCTGGGGCTGGAGATAGATCCTTCACAATGCCTGGGCCCAGGGGTCCTTTGCTCTGTCTTCTCCTCCTGCTCCTGGTCCCGCACATCTCTGAGGGGGGACGTCCTCCTCATCGCAGGTTTGAGTACAAGCTCAGCTTCAAAGGACCAAAGTTGGCCTTGCCTGGGGCTGGAATACCCTTCTGGAGCCATCATGGAGGTGAGGGGCAAGGGTAGGGATCAGCCATGTCAGGGTTCCTTTGAGTGCTGGAGGGGCTCACCAGCCTGAGTGGCACTAATGTGGTGGGGAGTGGGTCTGCCACTACCAGCATTTGCCCAGGATGGAGCCAGTCCTGGGGCAGGCAGAGCTGGAGACTCAGCATCCAGATGGAACAGGACCCCTCCCAGCCTTGCTTCCTGTTCTGTCTGCAACTCCACCCCCATCCACCAGCCTCAGTTTCTCTTCTCTGCCTCTCCTCTATCCTAGGGCTTGTCTCAACTTGGATCCCTTCCCTGTGAATGCCTATGCCCAGGTCCAGACATACAAAATGAGACAGTTTGGTTCAGGACAAACTCCCACATCCTGGCTCCATCCTGTTGGACTTGGACAAAATAATGGAACTCCCCAGAGGGAGGCATCCTCACATCCAGTTGTTTACCCTGAGGGGGCACCAGACCCTCCTTGTGTTTTCCACCCCCCAAGCCCAGAAACAGTCTGTCTTCTACTTTATAAAAAGTGTTGGCTTAGAAGATCTAGAAAATAAAGAGGCGTTTAACACAGGTGAAAGAGCCCTGGTACTGGTCGGTATGTCACTGCTAACTGGAAAGCTGGCAATTTGAGCCCCTCAGCTGCTCTTACAGGAGAACTAGATGTCTGCTTTTGTCAAATAACAGCCTTGTGAGTCAGTGGGGAAGTCCTGCTCCAACTAGAGGATCTCATTGCCGTGAGTTGCCCCAGCTGACCCTCCAGTGCATTACTAAGGCTGAAAACTACATGGGAAAAGATGATCCACCTTGCTTACATGGAGCCAGTGATGAGTTTGAACAGCCAGAGGGTTGTGGTCTTTGGCTTAGCAGCACAGCTCCCGAGGGTCTCCACCACAGTGTCCTCAATTTGGCAGGTTCACCACAGGAGTGAATGAGGCTTAGCGTTAGATCTCGGTGTGAAGTGAGTCCAGGAATGTGGCTCATTGCCAGACATATGCAGTAAGGTCTACTTACCTGCAGCATAGGGCTATGAATTTTATGCAGACCCTCCAGGAAGCAAAACAAAGAGAGAAAGCAGACAAGTTATTCATTATTGTGGATACAAGACAGAGAAACATCATGGTTTCTGACTGAAACCAGAATAAAATACCACAGAAAACCGAATCGTTTGCCATCAAGTGATTCCCACTCATAGCAACCCTATTGGATATAGGGTTTATAAGGCTTTAACCCAGCGCTGTGAAACATACTGCCCACATCCTTCTTCTCAATGAGCAGCTGATGGATCCAAACCACTAAATCTTTTGATGAACACTGTAGCCACTGAGCCACTAGGGCTCCTTGAAAAACCAGCAGAGTCTCTCTTCTACCAAGTCCTCACAAGGAGCATGAAGGACCAGGCAGCTTCTCACCGAGCCAAGCTGAGCCTACCACTTGCCCCTCTGGACCTTGCCAAGTGCAGGGTACCATAGACCAGACGCAGGAGTGAAGACACATTCTCCAAAACCACCCAGTGATCAGCTCTTCACAAACTCATTTATTATTTCATCCACCTCCCACTCCATGATGCTGCTCTGCACTCAGCCCTGTCTGGAGCCCAGGGCCTCAAGACTAAGTTCGACTTGAGAAACCTGCAGGTTGAGAAGAAGCACCACAAACAAGCCACATCTAGGCCGAATGCATGTGTGTGGTAGGCATCAGACACTCCTTGTCTCCTGCAATCACTCCTGGGGGTGGGGGGGTGGCTTCCAGAGATCCCAGGACTTTATTTTTTTTGTTTGTTTTCAACCTCCAAGTCTCCCTGCCCCCACAGAGGTCTTTGCAGAACAAACAGGCTGGATTAGCAGCCTCCGGAAGGGCCTGGCAGAGGTCTGGGCGCTGGGCCAACTTCCAAGCTGGCAGGTTGGAGGGGTGGGAAGGCAGGCAGGGTGGAGCCTCTGAGCTCCTGTCCCCTGTGCTTAAAAGCCAGCCTCAGTTTCTCTTTCCTATCCTTTCTTCCCATCCCCACCCCATCAGTGATAAATCTCACAAGACACACCCCAACCTTCACCCTTTCCTCCCACTCCTGGTCTACTAACTTTTCTTTCATGCTTTCCTCACCTTGCAGTGGTCCCTGGGCTCCCTGCACCCCAGGAAGCCCCCGGCTTCATCTGATCATCTCCGATTAAGTTTCTACAGCCTTGACCCCTGAACCACCACATGCCTGCTCCCTGGTAGTGTTCTGTTCTGAGACCTCAGATAAGTCTTGACTCCCAGGACCTTGATGTCCTCACTAAGAAATGAAGATATAGACAAATGTGTCACATGGTGGAAAAGACTTGCGTTTTACAGTCACATGAGGTTGAGCACCAATCCACTCATCAGTAGCTACTCCTGAGCCTCAGCTTCCTCATCTGTAAAATGGAGTCTTACAAAACTAGCCCTCACAGATGTGAGGCAAGGAGTAAGCAAGCATGCCAGTCTAGTGCTCAGCATGGGACTGGCATCTTCTGTGCCCTGCTGGCAAAGACCCTTCAGCAGAGCTGAATGCCGATTCGTGTTTCCCCAATGAGATCCAGAGTCTGATGCATGACTCAGTAGCAGGCACTGGTATTATCCTCATGGAGCCCAGCCTAGGCCATTGAGAGAAAGTGACAAGGCCCAGGGATGTCAGAAGCCTAGATCTGTCTGAGCTGCCCATGTCCACAGATGCCATCCCAGGCCTGGAGGAAGTGCGACTGGCCCCATCCATGAGGAACCGGAGTGGTGCAGTGTGGAGCAAGTTCTCTGTCCCCTTCTCCGTTTGGGATGTGGAGTTGCAGATGAGAGTGACTGGGCCGGGGCGCAGGGGGTCCCTGGGCATGGTGAGTGACTGCTCCAAAGCACATCATAAGGGGTGAGTCATGGGGTGGGTGGTGAATCCCCCTCAGGCAAGTCCCAGGGATGCTGAGCTGCTGCTCTGGGGACCTGCAGGCTGTGTGGTACACCCAGGGCAGGGGCCAAGTCGGCTCGGTCCTGGACGGGACAGCCTCGTGGCACGGCGTTGCAATCCTCTTCGACTCCTCGGCTGAGGACACTCAGGTGAGCATGGTCTCTAGCCTGCCCACCCTGGCCCTCCCCTCCACCTCCTTCTGTGCCAACGGCTCAGGCTGCTGTCACCTCCCACACAGAACAGTCCTGTCATCCGTGTGCTAGCCAGTGATGGACACACCCCCTCTGAGGAGCGTGGGTAAGATCTATCTCAACTGACCCTCACCCCAACTCCTGGGCTGGGAGCGATCAACCGACACCAAACCATACCACCTGTGTGCATGCTTCTGGGCCTGACAGGGACCAAAGTCATCTTGAGGTCGTGGTCTTTGTCACCTTTTCTACCCACTCCAGGGCCCTTCCTACTTGCTCTCAGCTGCAGCTCTGGAGCCCCAGGACCCATGTTCACTTGCTCTTCTCTGAAATCACCCCACTGAGTCCTTAATTGATTTACCTCAGCAGCCCCAAGTCAGCAGGTAGAGCAGAATGACCCAGGCTGAGGCCTTGTGCTTTGTGTTTTTATTCTCATTGAACATTTCTTATTCACAACAGCATTGATGAAGGAGGGTTATTCATGCCCATTTACAGGTGAGGTCATTGAGACCCAGAGAGGTGAAGTGATTTGCCCGAGGTCACAGAGCTGTGTACAGAGCAGAGACTTGTCCATGGAGGGGCCCAGCCCTTGCCCAGCCAGTTGCCTGCTGCCTCTTCCCTCTCCCTGGGGTGACGTGGCTTCTCGTCCTCAGTAGCTGGGCTAGTTTGTCAGTGTCTCTCAGCAAACATCCCTCAGCTCATAACAATTAGAATAATTGCTAACGTTTATGGAGCTGAGCTGAAGTGTGCCAGGCACAGCAAGCACTTCACAATCATTGTCTTAGTTAATTTAACCCTCATAACAATGTTATGATGAGGTAGCTGTGATCATTATCCTTGTTTAAAAGCTGAGGAGGCTGAGGTTTGGGCAGGTGAGGTAACCTGCCCAAGGTCACACAGCTGGGAGTGCAAAGCCAGATGGCGGCTCGGGAGGTGGCTTGTCCCTGCTTCGTGAGGCCTCCCTCTTGGCTGGTTGTGTCCTGTGTGCCCTGGGAACCTCAGGGCCTCCTGGCCCGAGGCCTGCTGCAGTGGCCACACAGGGGAAGGGGGCTGCATGCATCCTGCTACAAATCTGAGCCCTTGGCAGAAGACAGAAGGAAGAGAAGCCCCTCGAAGCTTCAGGAGGGTTGAGTTCAAAGAGACTGTGAGATAGGCCTGGGGGAGTTGAGGGAGAAGCCCACCACCATTGATCCAGGCCACCGTCCCCCTGAAGAAAGGCCACAGGAGACTCTTGGTCTCTTCTTCTGTTAACTGAATCTCACCGTTCTGATGGGCACGGCTTGTTTTCCTGTTCTCTCTTCTGCTAAGAGGACAACAGCAAGAGAGACTCAAGCTAGACAACAAAAAGCATGTTCTGCACTGGGCCATCTGGTGGGGGAAAAGATAGCATTGCAGATCTGGGCAGAGTGGCCTATGGCTATAGGTATTGTGTGGCCCAGATGGACTCTGATATCCACAGGGATAGGCCCAGCCAGGTATTAGGCTCCTGCCACCGGGATTTCCGGAACCGGCCATACCCCATCAAAGCACGGATCACCTATTGGGGACAGCAGCTGCGCGTGAGTCCCTCCTCCTGCCTTTGTGATTCCACTCGGTGGGGCGTGCAAATTACAGAGCTTCTGAGCCACAGAGCTGAGGTGTGTGAATGCCTAGGACCTCACAGGTGTGCTGGTGGCACCAAACCAGGCCCCTGGTACACACGAGTCCTCACACCACGTGGGGCCCCTGGTGCATCTGGGTCAGCACTCACATAGGATCGTCTGTACACAGAGTCTTCACGCTCACTGGTAGCACATACCTGTGAGGGCCAACATGGGACCAGCTTTCACTCTGCTGTCAGGTTCAGTGGTGCCTGCTCTTCTTCAGGACCTGAGGAGGGGGTAGTCGAGGTGGGGCCCATGTCCTGTCCTGGGGTCATGGGAGAGAAGACTAATGCCTTGTCCTCTCTCAGGTCTCCTTAAACAGTGGCCTCACTCCCAGTGACCCGGATGAGGTCTGTGTTAATGTGGGGCCCCTGCTTTTGGCCCCTGGAGGTTTCTTTGGCATCTCAGCAGCCACCAGCACCCTTGCAGGTGAGGTCCCTGTAGGGCAGGTGAGAACAGAATTGTGGTTCCTTCTGAGCCATCCTGAGCACACCTTGTAAGGAGAAGAGGGCACAGAGCTGCGCCTCTGTTATGTGTCCTGGGCCAGTCACAAGCCCTTTCTGGGACTCTGTTACCATTGATGGAGAGGTCACGTCTTCCTTATAGACTGTTGAAAGTCTCAAATGAGATAAATCACTAGAAGCTTTTATGCTACTTTGGCCCTATAAGTGCCCCTTGCTGAAAACTGTAGGGTAAGTGAAAGAGGGGATGAAGAGCCCATGGAGGCCCGATATTGGAAAGCAGGCTGCAGCTAGAGCGTGCCAGGACTTTGGTCTTTAGACCCCAGGCAATGGGGATCCAGGCTTCTGAGGGAGAGAGTGACATGGTCAGAGTCACACCTAGAAGGTGACGGTTGTGTGGTTTCTTCTGGCAGAGGTTGCCATCTTCTGGGGGTGAAGGTGTCAGTAGCACTGCTCCCAGGGCTCCAACCCAGAATGTCAAGTGATTGTCCAGTTTCCCCACCTACTGGTGGTGTATGGCAATCAGCCCCTCACAGCTCATTCATATATTTGTCTGATTACTGAGAAATAAGCAAGACAAGCTTTAAGAAGCTACCCTAGGTTACACTAATCTCTCACCTTCCTAGAATATGAAGGAGCCTGGCGTGAGTCCTGGAATATGAAGGAGCCTGATGTGAGAAGGCTGTGTGAATGGGCTGCTTTAGGAAGGAGTCTTACCTTCCCTTCTCTGCTCCCCATTCCAGATGACCATGATGTCCTGTCCTTCCTGACCTTCAGCCTGACGGAACCAGGTCCAGAGGTGATGCCAATGCTGGGCTTGCTCCAGAGGGAGGCATCTCTAAGGGACCCTCCTGCCCTTCTCTACCCACCATACTCAGCCCAGAGAGCTCTTAGGCAACCTGTTATCCACACCTATTTTTTTTTACTTGAGCTCTGTTCAGAACGGACAATGTACTGGAAAGTTCTGGGGCACAGATGTATCCCCAAGCCAGGCCCTGTCCTTAGGGATCTCTCTGGCTGACTGGCTGGGGACAGGCTGTTATGTCATAGCCAGATGATCAGGATTGGTCAAAGGTGTAGGGCGCTGAGGTGGCACAGACAAGGTCCCAAATCCAGGTAAAGGAGCAGGAAACCCTACCTGGAGGAGGTGCAGCAGGAGCTGACTAGACAGAGGAAAAGCATTTGCAGAAGTCTGAAGCCTGAGTGAGCTTTCTAGGGTCCCGGACTGCAGTGGCGGGGAAGCATTGGGCATCAGTGATGGGCACAGGGCTCGGAGGGCGGGAAGCTGCGAGGCTGTGGCTGAGCTTCTGGAGAGAAGCAGGAGTCTTCCCTGGCTAGGGTGCATGTGTGTTCAGGAAAGGAGACTCTGCTCCTGGAGAGATACGTGAGAAGGCCCCCAGATCTGCCCCAGCATCTCCCACAGGCTTTGACTTGAGTTCTCACCTTCCTCCTCCAGGCTTCTCATGAGCCCTTCCTAGAGATGGAGCAGCTCCACCTGACAAGGCAGCTGGAGGAACTGCAGGCAAAGCTGGCACGGAGCTCCAAGGCGGATGCAACTATGAAGCCAGACTCAGAAGCCCAGGAAGGGGGTAGGGATCCAGGAAAGACAGAGTTGAAGTGGGGTCCATTTCAGTGTCCCAGGATCCTTGTCCCTTAAAAACCAGGAATCTGTTAATGAATGTAGTGTTGGACAAGTGCACCAAAGTGTCCTTCCTCTCCTGACTCTGTCATTCAGAGCCATCAGTCCAGATGAGGGGCTTGGAGAAAGGATCTACTCCTCTCTAGACAGACCCCATCTCAAAGAAGTGCCAGAGATATTCCCCTTGCCTCACCCCAGGAGGCTTCTGGTCCCAGCTCTGCCACACCCACAGGAGAAAAGCATTTTGACCTGCAGAAGACGCTGGGCAGACACAGTCGAGTCCTACAGGCTCTCCAGGGCCTCTCAGAGCAGTTGGCCCACGCTGAAGGACAATGGAAGAGGCAGGTGGGGTCCTCAGGTGGAGCCAGACCTGAGGAAGGCTGGGTGAGTAGCCCCTCAAGTACGTGTTGTGACTGTCATCCTGTACAGCTGAGTCAGACCGACCTATAGCTTGCCTGCCAGCGGGTTTCAGAGGCAGTAAATCACATGGGAGGAGAGTGCCCATCTTTCTCTCATGGAGTAGCTGGTGGATTCGAACTGTGTGGCTTGGATGCATAGGCCTGGAGAGATAGCACTGAATCTGAGGAATCTCCATCCCTTCAGAAAAAGAACACTACTCCCCAAGTCTGGAGGGATGGTGGTGGAAGGGGGGTGGTGGTGCTGGACAGAAAGGTTCATGTGGTAGGATGGGGTGAACCCAACAGCAGAGGGGCGGGTAGGAGGCATCTCTGCACAGCAAATGCCTACAAAGCCCTGCGGCTGGAACAGGGAAGGGAGGCATCAGGTATCTGGACTCCAGTCTGTAGTCAAAGGACAGAAATAGACTGCGTGCTAATTTGCATGGCGCTTCACATGTGATTTGCATATGGCTTGCTTAATGCTCAGATGCACCAGAATCCTCATTTCATCTCCTCTGCCTTTCCCAGTCCTCCTCCAGGGAGTCATGCCCCACCGCACGCGCAGCCTGTGTTAGATGCAGGGCAGAGGCAGCCAGAGGCTTTCTCAGGGGCTTTGCTGGGCTCAGACAGCTCGAGGTTTTAATCTTGTGTCCTCTGGCCAGAGTGGCTTATCCTGGGGGAGTGGGAGAGGGGAGGAAGAAGCCATTTTCTAAAGCCAGGTCTCTCTGATCCTATCTCCAAACCCTGGATACCCTCCTGCCAGAGTCCATCCTCCCCAGACAGAGCCAGATACCCCTCTGGGTCACCCAGCAAGACAGGGGCCCAAGCCTTGGATACTGACTAGCTCTGGCTTCCAGTGTGTGAGATTGAGAGGGCCAGGTCGGGTCTCTACCTCCTTCATGAGGGAAAAGCCATTTCTAGAAAAGAGAAGGATCTTGAGAAAGCCTAGGAATGGGTATTGTATGTGTGTGGACAGCCACCCTCAGGGAGGAAGTTTGCAAGGAGGGGAAATCCAGAAGCCCAGATGGATGTGGGTCAGATAAAGTCGATGTGTCCAAGGTGAGGAAGGCCCAGATTCCCATTAAGAAGAGGGTAAATAGTGTCACTGTGGAAGGAGGCAAGGCTGGGCCCTGAGCCCTAGGGAAAAGGCTGGCTCTCCTGCAGGACTCCGCCAAGGTCAGCTCCCTGCTCCATGGGCAGCAGACTCTACTCCAGGACCTGCAAGAGATGAGGTAAGGACATTGGGTGAAGGGGGGTTCTGTAGGTGAGGAAATTTGCCTTTTCACTGGCCTTTTATTCCTTCATAATTTCCTGGCCACCAGTGGAGGAACTGGGGACAGAATTAGGTTTGTTTCATCAACTTGAATTTAATTGAGTCAAGTTAAGGTTTTGGACATCTTAATTCAAAAGCAAGTCTACTTAGGTGGGGCCCCGGAGGAAGGTCTCATCAGATATTCCCACCCCAAGGAGTCTGGGAATCTGAGCCGTTTTTTAGTGGTAGTTCCTGGAAGGAAGGAGGAGACATTGTGATTACAGTTCTTAGGAGGAGGACAACCAACCTCATGCTGGAGGAGGCAGCCCAGGACTTCTTTTTTGTCCCTTCTGGTCTCCCAGCAACCTACTCTAGCCCAGGCCTCTAGACCTACCCACACAGCTCTGGGAGTATGAGGTTCTCTATATACCATAGTTTGTTGTTGCTGTGGACCATCAAGTCAGAACTGACTCATAGCTGACCTTCTAACAGGTTTTCAGAGGCGTTAAATCTCATGGAAGAAGATTGCCCATCTTTCTCCCATTGAATAGTTACTGAGTTTGAACTGCGTGCCTTCTGGTTGACCGCCAGAGCTCCCATCTACACCATAGCAGAGGGAGGCGTTAGACTGGATTCTGTGGCTGGAACACAACCTGACCCCTCTTTACCACTTAATGCACACATATAGATGCCTGGGGAGAGTATAAGTAATGAGAGCGGGGAGTTAAATGACCAAGGGTTTAGAGATGAAAGCAGAGCCCTAAGAAGCCTGGAGTTGAGACAGGAAGCTTTAGGAAAATCTTTTGGTGTACTAAAATGTACCCCAAATCTAGTGAGAACATTTGAGGTGAAAAGTGAAGTGGCCCTATGGATAAGCCTGTTCCCACCATGTGCTTCCATTAGGAATTATGGGAAATAAATGATTAAGTAACCAGGGTGATGCCAGACAGGTAACAATTCATCTTCCTTGATTGTGCACTCAGGGCTGTTGCTTCCCAAATGGCCTCAGATGCTCAGGCCTTCTACCTACCTGTGGGCACCAAGCATCACTTCCTGGAGCTGGACCAGATGCTGAGCCTTCTGCAGAAGGACCTTCGGGACCAAGTGGTAAGAGGGGTGTAGGAGGTGGCATAGGGACCCCATCCCTCAGGTCCGGGCTCAGCCACTCTTGTAGCACTTCTCAGAACTAGGCTCTTTGCCCTTCCCTACTAGGATTCCTGCCATTCCCATCTGTGTAAGATCGGGCTGTTGTGTGCACACATGTATGCAGATTTGATCATCTCTATTTGCCCTGTGAGGCAAATCAGATTCAGCCTCTCAGTGTCATTAGGACCCTCATTGAACAATTGGTCTAATTGCTTCAATATTCACAAGGGAACAGGGTGGGCTTCTTGGTGATGCCAGCTTTTCTCTCCGCCCCACCCGATCTTACTCCTCCCTTGCTCTCACCCTCATCCTGTCTTTCGTTCTTTGTTCTCTCCATCTTTTGAGCATTGGCCCCCTTATGATCCCAGGTCCCCAGGCCTTCCCAGCTGTTCCCACAGATGTAGCCATGAGAGCCTGGCAGGAGGGAAGCAGCTTTGCATTCTGCCCCTTTCCACCTTCTCTGGATGAGAGCCTGGTGCCCCGAGCTGGGGGAAGGAAGACAGCCCACACATGGCCCAGATTCCCCACCTCTGGCTAAGCTGAGCTTCACATCTTAGAATCTTCCCTTTCAGAAGGTGTCAGCCAAGGCTTCTCGCTCCTTGGGCCAGCCCCCAGGGACCTCCTCATGCCTGCGGTCTGGCATCTTTCTGTTCTTTCTCCTCATCCAGACTATGGGCTTCTTCAGCTATGTACACTTCAGGTGAGTCTTCCTATGAAGAATGCCCGAGAGAGACCTCCCCAGCATCTCTGGTTCTGGTCAGAGGATCTGTCCCATCTACCAGCTGACAAAGAGCAAGGATCAGTCCAGACCCGTTCTTTCAGCAGGCATTACTGGCCACCAGCTCAGTCTTGACCCAACCTGGGCACTGCCCTCACAGAGCTCGTGCTCTAGTTTAAGAAACTGCAAAATAACAGCCAGTACACCCTGTATGGTCAGTGCCATGATGGCAGCAGCTCTGGGCTATAGGAAAAGACCAGATAATTTACCTAGAAGAGACATACAGGTCATTAAGGTGTCTAGAAATTCTCCAGCCTGACAAGTAAGTAGAGGTATTAATGTAGCGGAAATAGCATGAGAAAAAGCATGAGGAAATTGTAATATAAAGAGTGGTAAGTTCCTTACCCCTGAAGTGAAAGATGCAACAAGTTTCTGAAGTTGGGCAAAAGTAATTAAAGAGATGAAGGAGAGGTGGGGGCTTTTATTTTATTTTGGCTGGGTGAATGTTGAACAAATGGGCCATTTAGAAATGTAGAGTGTGCTATGAGCCTCAGAAATGGGGCTGGTAGTCCTTATGGGTGAAATTTTAAGACCAGAAGAATAAATGTGAGATAAAAAAAGCAAATCATGCTGAGTTTTAAAGGCAAAGGAGAGGGAATTGCCTTTTAGATGAAGAGATTAGTAGATGTGAAATGAAGGTGGAACCTGTTACATGCTTCTGTGTTTATATAAAAGTGTGGCAGACAAGAACACTGAAGCTTCAACTCACTGTTGGAAATGGGGTGAGGAAGAGTGTGGGGAGGATGTGACAAGGCAAGGGCACCGGAGGAAGTCCCTGTGCAGGGAAGGCTGCTGTGCAGTGTGAAGAGACAAGTATGGGATATGGGACACCAAGCTTCAGTGGCTAAAGGCCCAAGTAACCTTTTCCCTCTTTCTCCCTTTTCCCACCCTGGCAGCAGGCAGGAGCTGGACAAGAGTCTTCAGGATTGTTTGTCCTTAGACAGGCTTCCTCTGGACCATCTGCCACGTGTCTCCAGGGCTCTAGGGGTCCTGCGGAGGCAGCCTCTGTCCCCCAGCATGCAGGCGTGATCCACTGGGAAGTCTGGGGTCTGGAGGATGAAACACTCTACTTCTCTCTCTGGGTGCCTAGCACTCCCATTTATTAAAGACAGATTTAGCTCTCCTTGTGTTTTTATATGCTCAGCTGGCATCACCTGAGTCTCTCTGAAGACATCTACCTCCTTTGGGCAGGTAGCTGGGAGTGGACTCCACACTGACAAGGAGGCCATGAAGTCACTCAATCTCCAAGAGATCAAAAACATGCCACAGTCCTTGAGCCCTTGACTATGGAGGGGCAACAGAGGAAGAAGGGGGGTCACAGTTGTTTCCATTCCATCTCTAAATACACTCAGAACTGAGACTGGTGTCTTCCAGTGTTCTTCCTGGCTTAGCTAGCAACCCTACAAAACCTCCCCATTCTCCCTATTGCTCCAGAGGTCAGCAGGGCAGGCACGTGACAGAAGAACCCTGAGGGTACCAAGAACTGTGGAACCATGATTGAGTCTCCCCCTTTCCAAGCGCCAAGCTGTAGGGACAGCTGGTTAGGTCATAGAATAAGTAAGGTCCAGTGTCCTCCCTGCCACATCCAAGCTATCTGTGACTTGTGAGAGGAGGAAGTCGGAGGAAGTCGGAGGAAGTCGGAGGTGGGTAGGAAGCAAGGTTCCAGCACAGCCCCTTCCCCTGGGGAGCGACCCCACTCCTGCTGGCCCTAATCCGCCGTCTGCAGTGCCCAGCGGAGCTTGGCGTTGAAAAGAGGCACGTGGGAAAGGCGGGAGTGGGGAGCGGGCACGTGGTCCAGCCTTCTCAGCCCCGTGCATGCCCCCCCGCCCCCCGTAAGGAGGGGCTTGTGGAGGTGGGGGCGGATCCGGGCGGGGGTTGGGGGGGGCGGAGGGATGTGCAGAGCGTGGGGCGCAGGCCGGCGCGGGAGCTGTCCGTGAGCCTGGTGCTGAAGTACGGGCGGACGTGCCCAGTGCACAGTGAGTGGTGTCCTGCGCCCAGCGCCTGAGTTGGCGACGACCATGGCGTTTATGGTGAAGACCATGGTAGGCGGTCAGCTAAAGAACCTCACTGGGAGTCTAGGGAGCGGCGAAGACAAGGGAGACGGGGAGAAGTCGGCGGCCGAAGCTCAGGGCATGAGCAGAGAGGAGTATGAGGAGTATCAGAAGCAACTGGTAGAAGAGAAGTAAGTGAGGTCCCTTCCTGGCTCCAAAAATACCCTCCCCAGACTCCTGGCCTGCTCCCAGGCCACCCTCGGGCCCTAACCCCACTCCTCTCCCTTACTGGACACGATTAAGAGGATAAGAGCTGGGGATGTACCCTCTAAGCTGTCCCCAGGGCCACTCATCTGAAACCTAGGATCATGCTCCAGTTTCATATTGGGTCCCAGAGGGAGTGGGGGCAGGGGCAACAGGGGCCCAAAATGGGGGGAGCACGTGCATTTCTGATGAAATAACTAATCCTTTAATCCTCTCTGGTGCTAGCTGACTGGGTCTTCCAACTGGGGCTTCTCTGAGCTTGTGGTTTTGAGAAAGAGATACAACTGTGGGGAAACTCTTGGATGTTGAGCCTACTTGTGTGACAGCTGTGCTGGAACAGAGAGACAGCTAAAATGGAGTTAGGGTTCAGGTTCTGCCTTTGCTTTTCAGCTGGGTGACTTTAGGCAAGTTACTTAATCTTTTTGTGCCTCTGTAGACTCTTCTGTCAAATGAGGGTAATAATTATAATTTATTAATATTCATAATAAATAGTCACTTTAAAAAAACATCAGTTGCCATTGTGTAACTTCAACTCAGGTGATCCCCTACATACCTCAGAGTAGAACTATGTTCCATAGGGTTTCAGTGGTTGGTTTTTCTGCTGAGGTCCCTCTGGGTGGATTGGAACCACCAACACTTAGGTTAGCATCCGACTTTATGAACCATTTGCATTACCAAGAGACTCCATAGTATATATTTTACGTATTTGTTATAAGGATTATTGACTTAATGCACTTAAAACCACTTACCACCATGCTTGGCACATGATAAGTCCTCATTAATTATAAGCCATTGTTATTTTACCTAATCCTCAGAACTGTCTTGTGAGTTATAAATTCTTACCTAGTGGTAAGAAGCTGTGTTCCAATCCCAAAAGCACGCAGTTCGACTCCATAAGCTGGTCTGCGGGAGAAGGATGGGCAATGTCCTCCCGTGAGATTAATTGCCTCTGAAAACTCATCCGAGGGTCAGCTATGGTTTGGTTCCGATTCGATGGTATACAACAACAACAACAACAGTCATTTTACAGAAGACAAAACTAAGCGATTTACCCAAGGAAAGTGTAGTGGAACCGGATGTGAAATCAACTCTATTTCCAGTATTCCCCTCTCCAACCCCATCCCCAGCCTGTCTGAAATGTGAATACACACCAAGTTGGTAGCCATGAACGACATATATTAGATTCTACAGAAAGAACTATGCAGACACCCTCACCCAGCCAGCTCTGTCCAGCGGCAGCTGTGGAGACCATACAGGCGCTCTCATGGAGGGAGAGGGAACAAAGACCGTTTGCACTGGGTCAGGAAGGAGTGCCCTCCAGACCCAATGCTCAGGGGGTTGAAGGTGTTCTGCCCACCCTCAGGACACAGGACCTCCCTCACTTCCCTGCTGACCCCTCCCCCTCTCCCCGCCTCACAATGACTCCACCCCCCCCACCCCCCCCAACCCCGTGCTCCTGCAGGATGGAGCGGGATGCCCAGTTCACACACAGGAAAGCGGAGCGCGCCACGCTGCGGAGCCACTTCCGTGATAAATACCGGCTGCCTAAGGTAAGCCAGCCTAGGGCTGCAGAGCCCCGATCCTGAGCAATGGACTCCAGACTCTAGGGCCTACAGTTCTCAGCCCTTAAGTTTCACAATGTACTGAGTTCTCTCATTCATTTCATTCTTCACTTAAAGTTAACCAGGGCCCCATAAAGGACGAGGCTAGGTCTCCACAGACAAGTGGGTTTGTGTATACGGATCTAGGTAGTCCAGGCTCTTTCGCCACCTTCTGGAGTCTGGCCAAGGCAAATAAAGGTCCAAAGAGCCAGAGGCAGTAAGATTTGCCTGGGGTGAGGATGGGAGTAAGAGTGGGAGCACTTAGGACTTCTGAACACACAGAGAACACAAGGTAGGAGAGAAAAGGGAGCACCTTCACACCCTCACCTATGTGACCCCAAAATGTGGCTGGCCAGGTAGATACTACCCAGAAATGAAGGAACTGAGGCTCAGGGAGATTAAAGGACTTGGCCAAAGTTCATTCATACAGTGAGCAGTGAAGCCAAGATCGGAGCCCCAGCCTGAGCATATTGAACCTACTTTTGCTCCAGGCCACCAGGCTGCTTCCCAAGCTATAAGGTCTGCCTCCAGGAAGCAAAATTCTTCATTGATTTGCCGAGCAGCCAGGGAAGCTATCTGTATATTCCCATCTTTTTGCTCCTCCAAACGACTGTAGCATCATCAGATAGGCCTGTAAATACTCTGCCCCCATTGCTTCAGAAGGGAAAATGAGGCACTGAAGCACTCCCAGGGCATTAGCTATGTGTTTAGAACTGTGCTATGCTCTTGAGGACAAACAGAAGTATGGTGATACAGCACTCTTGACCTTGACCTTCCACTTAAACTATATCAGATATATGGACATTACAATTATTCATTCATCATTTATTTTCTGAGCCCTTGGCTGAACCTCTCTACCTTCCCCCAAGGCACCATTTTTTAAAAAAATTTTTTTTAAGTCTCTCAGAGGGCAATTGGTCTAAAAAGCCTTCCTTTCTGGAACATTACCGAGTTATATCCAGGCAGGAACAAAGTCACATCTCAAATGTCTGCTAAGCATGTAAGTGACACAGCTTCTGCCACTGGAGCACTGTGAATGCAGTAGAAGTGAGAAGAGAATAGGACTCAAATAGAAAAAGCCCCATTCCTTTTCACTACCAGGAACATCCATCAGTAGGTGTGTCCTGTTGTAGAAAGACAGTAGATGTTGGAATCAATGACATGAGTTTAAATCTAGCTCCTCTACTTCCTGGTTGGACAACTTTAGACAATTAAATTATATGAGCCTTTATTTCCTTATCTATTATCTATAGAGATAATACCTCCTCACAGGATTATTGTATGAGTTTTGTATTGAGTATTCACTCAACTCAGTATCAGGCATATCATAGGTATGAAAATACCATGGACCACAAAGAAAACAAATAGATCTGTCTTGGATAGGGTGAAACCATAGTTTCTCCTTGGAGGCTAGGGTTTTGAAGCTCTATCTCACATACTTCAGACATGTGTCCAGGAGGGAACTGGTCCTTGGAGAAAGACATCATGCTGGGAAGGGTGGAGGGACAGTGCAGGAGAGGAAGACCTCAGATGAGATAGATTGATATAGTAACTGGGGCAATGGGGGTAGGTGTGGTGGAGTCAGTGAGACCGGCTCAGGGCTGGGCAGGCTTCAGAGCTGTTGTTAGGTGCTCTAAAGTAAATTTTTAACTTTAAGTAACCCAAAGTGACAGAGTACAGCTGCCCTAAAAGTAGAGCTTAGGGTTTCCTAAGCTCGATCTTTACAGGAATAAATATTTCTCCCAAGAAGCCTAAGTGAGTTAGAACAACCAACCTTTTTCAGTTGTGCCAACAGACTCCTGTAGTTTTAGTTAAGAGTAAATAGCATATGGCATAGATGACTGTGATAGTAGCTTGTAGGTATTTCCCCCCTTTATTTAATATACTGTTATTACATGCCATTGAGTTAGAACTGACTCATAGTTGACACATGCCGCCCCCACCCCAACCCAGCCCCACCAGCAGGTTTTTATAGGCAGTAAATCTCACAGGGAGAGATTATCCCTCTTTTTCCCTTAAAGTATCATGTGGATTCAAACTACGTGTCTTTGGGTTGGAAGTGAAACTTTTATTATGCTACTCCTTCAGTATATCAGAGTAAAAGAAAGTGGTATTAAAGTATATGTTCTCATATTTAAGTGTTAAATATTTGATCCTTCAATGTGGAAGTGGGGGATGAGTGCATTATTAGAACATGGGAATCAAGAACTTAGGGTCCTGAAACCCAGCCCAGGATGCTTCCCTACACTTTAGCTCTGGATGCTCATAGACTTCCTCTCAGGCCTCATGCCCTTCCCATCTTCCCTTCAGAATGAGACAGATGAGAACCAGATCCAGCTGGCAGGTGGAGATGTGGAGCTGCCCCGGGAACTGGCGAAGATGATTGAAGAGGACACAGAAGAGGAGAGGGCAGCTTCGGTCATGGGGCAGCTGGGTAGCCTCTCTGGCTTGGACCTTGGCTCACTCAAGGACAAGGCCCAGGCCACTTTGGGAGACCTCAAGCAGTCAGCGGAAAAGTGTCATGTTATGTGACCACTTCCCCAGGGTTGCCCACTGGGGTGACCCAAGTGGTGGGCCCAACATGAGGGTTAAGAGCAGTCTCAACTTCCAGGGACTCATCCCCTCTCCAGGGCTTTATTTCCCCAGCCCTGCCCTGGCTCCAGGACCCTTCTCACTCAGGCCCTGAGCCTTCCCTCTTTCCCTTTCCACCGGGAAGAAAGTCTCCATCCCTCACTGTATCCCCCAAGCACCCCCATTCAATCTAGGGGAGCCTACCAAAGTTGTAGGAATCAATTCATTTCTATATAACTACACCCTCAAATTCCTGCACAGAGGAGCTCCCTTAAAGAAGCACATACAGAAGGCCAAAAGCCCTGATACATGTGAGGCATGGGCTATAGCTGCATCCTTTTTGAGATCACACTCATATATATATGCACACACATACACACTCCCCCATTAGTGCACAGCCCTTTCCTGGTACCACATTCAGGACACAGATACTAAACAAATGGGAGTCCTGACCTTGAAAACCTCTACCTTTTCTGAGCCTCATTCCATGATCTGTAAAATGGGAAAACACTAGTGATTTCTAAAACTCCTTTTGGCTTCGTCTCCTGGGCTCTCAGAGACATCCCACACCCTTCCTTCTTGGTCAGGGGAGTGGGGGGCAGCTGCATTCACAACCCCCCAGGCTTTACTGGGCTGCCAATACCCCACTGTGGGCTCTGGCTCCTGGGAGCTGAACGATGCTATGTGAGGGGCCAAGTGCCAGGGATAAAGCTGGCACTGAACAGCAGCCCAGGCAGCTCCAGGCCTTCTTTGGGCCCAAGGCCCAGGCAATTTTTGTCCTGTTCCTGTAGAACTGTTTAGATTTCATAGCTGGAACCTTTTCTCCTAGAAAAGTGAAAAATAAAAATTCCAAATGATGTGCTTCTCTTCCCACTTATTACTGACCTCTAGGAGTTTGAGGGTTTACAGCGCCCCCCACCTTATGCCTCCTAGGTGTCTACTATGTCCTCACAGCTTCACAGGAAAGCGGAGAAACCTGTTACTAGGTGTAGAGTGTTTTGAGTGCTAGTCCCTGTAAGGTGCTTGAACTCCAGTCTCTCGGGAGCCTGGGGGAGGGGGAGTTCTCTGTCCTAACTGAACACCATGTGCAGCTTGGAGCCCATGAAATAGATCTGGGCCTTGAGAAGGATGTGGTAGCCAGCTGGTTGGAGATGCACCTGTGGGAGGTGAGGCCTCTGGGCATTATTGAGCTGATAGGAGAATGAGGGCTCCATCAAAGCCATCCCTGGATTCCCCTTCTCACTTTGAAAATGGAGAGTATATTAGAAAAAGAGAAAGCAGAGCAACTGCATGCCTGTTGGCAGCGCTGTGTGACTTTGAGCAGGTCCTTTTCCCTTTCTGGGGCTCTGATTCTCCCTCTGACATGAAGAGGGGAAATTCATCCTGTCCACCTGTTGGGGAATCCCAGAAGCAGCCAGGCAGGAAGAAGGTCAACTGCAAATCCTGCCCCACCCCACCCCAGGTCTGGGCCCCTAGCCTGCTGCTGAGGCCTGGGCCTGTGGGGAAGGCAGCCAAGACACACAGGCAGGAATGGCCAGCCACCTGAAAGCTTGGTTTCAAGGGTAAACTTTCCACTTGGCTTCCTTTGTAAACTAAGAACAAGGAACATAAAACCTAGCTAGCAGGTAATGTGGGGGAGGGACAGGTGAAAGAGAATGAGGAATTAGGAGGGGAGGGCAGGCACCGGTCCAGGCTCAGTCACGCTGGGTCCTGCTCTCTCGAGCATCCTTTGAGGCCCAGGCCTTGCTCCTAAGCTTCCTGGGAAAAGGCTGGTGGCCACTGGACCAGAAAGCCCTCCTGACCTTTCTGGAGCTGTCAGGGCCTCAGGCTGGGCGGTGGGGGTGTTGTGGACCCGCTCAATAGCGTCAGCAGCAAGGCCCACGTCAACACTCTGCCCTCCAGGGTCTTCTGCCTAATGGGAGTGGACAGACCCCTTCCCCCTCAGTGGTTTTGCAGGGCAGGGAGGGGGACAGTGAGGAGACTAGGGGAGCCTATGTTCACTGAACACAAAATCTGCCTGGGGTCAGGGAGAAGGAGGGGAACCCCAGCGAGCCCTAAACCTGTCTGCACCATCCCTGGAACCTGGGGTAGACAGCCAGCTGTGGGGCCTGGCAGAGAGATGAGTACAGAGGGTAGATTCAAGGTCCCCAGACTTGCCGGGCCCCCTTCCAGCTGTGGCCTCTTGCCCTTCTCCTCTCCTGCTGAGTTTCTGAGACAATTTGTAGCCCCCTCTTTTGTCCCCACATCATCTGCCCTGCTCCAGGGTCAGGGCTGCTGACAGGTGGGGGCTGACCTGGCAGAGAGCTGCTCTTCCTCACCTGCCCACACTCCCGTGTCTGCAGTTCCTCTACATTCACTGCTACCCTTCTCCCACCATATGCTGACTTCTGATTTACCTGGACAATCACTTATTCCCCATGAGGACCTTGTAGAAAACCACTAGCCACCAAATCTTCCCTTTTCACAGGGTCTAAAATCCCACTGTTTGGGCATCATAGTTTGGAATGAGGCATTTGCCACCCCAGGCCCTCTCCTCTCTCGCTCGCTCTCTTTCTGCCTCTTCTTATTTCCTTTGCAGTCTGAGGATACAGGAGTGTTGAAAAGTGGGAGAGGTCCTTCAACTTCAGCTCACACACATTCTTTTGGGAGACAGGGACAACTTGGCTCATTTCCAAGTCAGGACCTCTGGCTTCATAATTCAAGGATTTGTGGGGTGGGGTTTGGTGACCAGGCTCGCCCCACTCAACGGCCTCCAGCACCCCTCTCCAACCTTCCATCCATTCATAGCCAGCTCAGGATGGGTTCTCAGCGAGAAGAGGGGCTGCAGGGAGAGCAAGTGACTTTCCTGAGGCCAGCTGGCCCCCAAGGAGGGAATGAAAGAGTGACCAGGGAGCTGGGTGAATCTCCCCTCCCCCCAGCGGCCAGATGGTCCCTTCTCAGACACTGAAGGGCCCAGGCGGGCGCTGGGGACATCTGGGGAACGTTCATTTGCTGAGCCTGAGCTCTGGCAGGGCCTGCTGACCCAGCTGATGCTCAGCCCTGTTGAGGCTATTAGCTTCTGCCCTCTCTCCTCACAGACCTGAGGGCCGAGCCACAGAGCTCAGTGGCCTGCTTTGAACTGTGAGCAAGGCACACATTCCCAGAATCAGAGGCTTGGGAAAGCCAGGGAGCCAGGGTAGGTTGTGTCCAAGGAAACAGAAGCACTGAAGCTGCCTTCTTAAATTCATTAAGAGCTGTGGCTTTTCTACAAAGATGGCGCCGAAAGAGAAGAAGAAAGCCCCTGTCCCTCCCAAATCTGAAGCCAAAGCAAAGGCATTAAAGGCCAAGAAGGCAGTCCTAAAGGGCATCCATAGCCAAAAAAAAAGTTCTGCACATCACCCACCTTCTGGCGGCCTAAGATGCCGAGACTCTGAAGGCAGCCCAAATATTCCTGGAAAAGCGCCCCCAGAAGAAACAAGCTTGACCACTATGCCATCATCAAATTTCCCCTGACCACTGAGTCAGCCATGAAGAAGATAGAAGATAACAACACACTTGTGTTCATTGTGGATGTCAAGGCCAACAAGCACCAAATTAAACAAGCTGTAAAGCTCTAGGACATTGATGTGGCCAAGGTCAACACTTTGATTAGGCCTGGTGGAGAGAAGAAGGCCTATGTTCGACTTGCTTCTATGATGCTTTGAATGTTGCCAACAAAATTGGGACCATCTAAACCGAATCCAGCTGGCTAATTCTAAATACAAATTTTTCTCACAAAAAAAAAAAAAGAAAAGAAAAAAAAAAGAGCTGTGCCTGAATGTGTACGTGAAAGAGAAACTGAAAGACAGCAAGAGACTGAGGTCATTTGTATCCTTAAGAGTCTATGAGCGTATGACAAAAAACAAAAACAAAAACACAAAAACAAACCACCACCCCAAAACACCCCACTGAAACAAAACCAAAACCTTAATAGAATTTCCCCATATGGTTTTCGAGGCTGCAAATCCTGTGGAAGCCGACCACCACATCTTCCTCCCTCAGAGCAGTTGGTGCCTAAGAACTGCCCACCTTTTGGCGAGCCACATACCTGGCTATAAATGTATTCATGTTTGTGGCCTCTTAGTGTCTGTACCTGTGCATCTGCAGGTTTTTTCCCTGAGGAGAAAGGTGGTAATTGATGCATTCCCTTCCTTAATGCCCCCACCTCATGGCTGGGCCATCATGCCCTCAGGGAGGGCTAAGACCACAGGCAAGCTTCTGAGGACAAAGAACTATTCCTAGATGGCCTCCAAGAGGAACTGAGGCACCCTCAGAGGTCCTTCACCATCCTTCCTTAGCAAGAGGCAGGCAGGTTGAATACAGGACACCTGAGTCCCTCAATCTGCTCCAGAGATCTGCCTGCCTCTCCCAAGCACCAAGGGGCAGCTCAAGGATCCAGGCTTCCCCCCTTTGGAGAAAGAAGACTCAGGCTCAGGTACCCCATGAAGTGTGGTCTAGTGTGCCTATGGTTCCAGGCCTGGCAGATTGAATAGAGTTAGGAATCGAGCAGGGCAGGGTACTGAGAACATGCATTGTGGGCATCTGCCACTTTGGGCGCTTTCAAAGCGCTGAGGGTGAGAGGTGAAAACAAGCCCACACTGCCCCCAGGAGGAAAAGGACATATTTTCCTCAGGTTTCAGCACCTGGGAAAGTCGAGCATTGTGGTGAGCCCTCACCCCCTCAGCACCCCACGTTCCAGTGGGCTAGGCTGGTCCTTGGCAGGTGGCCCAGTCTCAGCACCAGCCTGGAGGCTGTCCAAATTCTACCCAGGGTCTCTCCTGAGGGACCCGTCAGCCTCAGTTTCCCAGGACCTCCCCGACTCGGCCCCTCCATATCCACAGGTAAGAACCTCAGGGCCCCACCCCAACCAGCCAAGGAGGACAACAAAAATAAAACCTGGGGTCTGTGAGTCAACCTCTGTGCCCTCATCCTTCATTCATGTTCTGCCCATCTTCACTCCCACATCCCCTTCCTAATCACCGACACCCTTCTTCTCTTTCCTTTTTTAATCTAGAGGTTTTTCTGTCCAGCCAATTTTCATAGATACTCTGAAATATGTTCTTCTCCTGAGACCTGAACATTTTATTGAATTATTCTGTACCAGCTTCATTCACAATAACTCATCCAATCCTAACAGAGTCCCAGGAAAGAATTCTCCTTTTATAACAACTAGAGGTTACGCAGTGGGTACCAGCCAAAGGTTTTCTATAGTTAGGATTTTCACTGGGTTCTCTGGACTACTCCACACTGTCTCCCAATGACCAAGCCATCAGCTAGAAATTAGCTTCAGGGGCACAGTTGGGTTTGCATTGTGCTATTACCCCAAAAGGGAGCTCTGGTGGCAGAGTGGCAAGAAGCTACACTGCAATCCTGGAGGCACACGGTTCGCGGCTACTAGCCACTCTGCAGAAGGATGGGCAATCTCTTCCCATGCCTCTGACTCTGAAAACCTGCTGGACAGTCAGCTATGGGTCAGTTCTGACTCTATGGTATACACAACTACCCCAAAAGCCAGGGTCCTCTGGTTTGAATCCATCAGCCCCGTAGAGAAAGGTGGGTTGTCTCCTCTCATTTGCTATCTACAGCCTTGAAAGCCCAATGCATCTAGAAGCCTTCAAGGAGTCCTGAGTGAAATAGCGTATAACATGTCAGGCTTGGTGGTTTGAATCTACCAGCTGATCCTTGGGGAAAAAAGATGGGACAATGTTCTTTCGTAAAGCTTTACAGCATCAGAAACCTGACAGAGTTGCTGAGCCAGAATCAACTCAACAGCTGTGGGTGTGGAAGCCCTTTCATGTGTGTAGGGTGGACAGACCACTGATGACAAATTATAAATCCAGAGAACAGAACTGCTAGCTCTCTTGGCCAGTAGCACAAGTACCCAATGTCAGACTGCCCAGTAAGTAAACACAAGTTTATTTGTGCTTACCTGTGGTGAGCAAGTTCATATTTTCACTGTATCAAAGATTCTGCTTTAGTTCCTACAGCATCAAAATCACTTACAATCCCTGACGTTGACAGAGAACTCAATAAGGTAAGCACAGGATTATTTATGCTTACTAAACTGCAGTACAAAGAAACTGTTCTCTCCAGAGAAGCAAACATAGGCTAACTCTGTGCTTATCTTATTTATAGGGGAATTCCCTGTGGGCACCCTCCCATAGCATCCAGAGATGCTCTCAAGTGCTGTTCAGATGGAGAACTGCAGTGCAGTGGTGGAGTCAGGGTCTAGGGGCTACTGGAATCCACCCCAGCTTGGGGGTTCGATACCTCAAAGGAGGTCCTATCTACACCAGCTCACTGCTCCTCACTGGCCCGGGGCAAGAGTTGGGAGCTCGCTCTAGCGTGAGTGAGCATGCAGCCTGAGCACACAGCATCCTGTGATGCGCCTGACCTTCTTCTCAAGATGCCCAGACTCCCAGCCCTGTGCTTTCCCTCTGTCCCACTCCCCCAGGTGGTGGACAGAGGTGGCACCTAGTCAGCCTGAGGCTGCCAATCTCTCAGGGTCTGAGGGCGGGAGGTGCCTGTCATCCCACCACCCTGTCACCTCCCCCCCACACCTTCAGGCTACCAGCTTTTTCTGGGACTCTTGTGTCCCCCAACAGTGAACAGGGGCTACCTCTCTTGCTTTCCCAGGACAAGAAGCACAAATAAAGAAAATAATTTAATAGAGAAACAATGAATGACATTTACAACCAGCCTCCTTCACGGAGAAAGAACAGAGGACTCGCCCCAAGGTGCATTTAAGGGCAGAAGGGTTAGAAACCACCCACACCTTCTCAGAGTTTTTTTTGAGAAACCCTGATCATTTTCTGCTCCAGATTACACTCACTCTTGTCCTCTGCAAGCTCACAATGTGGACTGAGGGGGGTGATGGACACCCAGAAAATGGCAGGGGCTTGCCCATGTCCCCTGGGAAGGCAGCCAGAGTGTTGGACCTGGAACCAGGCCTCCTGGACTGAGCTGATTCCTCTGCAGGTGAGCAAATCGAGAAGCTCCCATGCTTCCTCTTCTCAGGGCCCCCCCACGCAACACTGCAGCAAGTGGGCGCATTCCTGATGAGTGAGGCGGGTGCGAGGAGGACTGAGGGCCCCTCCTCTGGGGACCCTGAGCCAGGGCAGGAACAGGGCCCTCACATCTGCCGCATCCCCTACACAGAGTATATTCTTTTCATGCTTGGAGGACTGTTTTAAAATTCTGAGGCGACAGGCAGCAGTCAGCTCCCAAGAAAATTGTTGAGCTCTGGGGGGCTGAGGAGACACTCTGGGAGTGAGTGGTCCCTGAGGGTTGGAGTGTCCCACTCCAGTGTAAGGAGGGAGGCGAGTTGGAATAAGGCTCCTGTGAAGAACAGGAGTGGACACAGGAATACTAGCTGCTGGCAGGGAGGAGGCCAGGGCAGAGATACCTGACAGAGGGCCTGTCCTCTCCTCAGAACGGAAATGCTTGAAGCCTTGATTTCCTCCTCTGACAGAGAGGTTCAGACACAGAAATCAATAGCCTCAGTGCCCAGCAAACCACTCAAAACAATATGTTAAACTTCTAAAGTGATGGTCACATGAAAGCAATGCTCTTCTCCCAGGAGTCCTGGCCCTACACCCGAGTCCAACACACAGCACCTCCAGCTCACAGGATGGGCCATCCGACCTTCTGGAAGATAAAGAGCATCCTCAGGGAGGCTGGGGACTCAGAAGTGTGGGGTCTCAGAGCTGTCCACGCAAGAAGTCCCCTTCTTAGGATGCGCCCCACAGTTGTGGAGGGTCATAGAGTTCTGGGCACTGAACCACAGGCTCCACTTGGAGACAGCATGTCCCTCAGGTCCAGGTGGCCTAGAGTCTGTCCAATCATCCTCTGTGGTCACTGCAAGGTACAAGCTGTGCAGGAGCAAGAGGATGGGCCAGTATCAAGTCTCTGGCAAGAGAGGCAAAACCTAAGGCCACCCCCAATTCTTATCCCTCCACGGGAGACCAGATTCCAGAACACCACTCACAGCTACGAACGGACTCTGACAGTCCTTCTTTGTCCAGTGTGTCTGCTGCCCAGTGAGAATTCCTCATCTGTGGGGCAGAAGGCAGCACAGGGAGTGAATGGCGGCTATAGACAGAGGCATGCCACCTCAGTAACTACTGAGCAATCAAGGCGTGAAGAAGAAAGGGATGGGGAGACACACATGATGGGTGAGCGCAGTCACAGGCAGGAAGAGAACCCATAAACCCCTAACCCCAGCGTATGCTGCCGCCTACAACCTCACCTTGACCTGCTCTTTCAAGTATTCAGCTCGAGCCATGAGGTTCTGAACCTGTAAAGGATAGACACAGAAAGATGGGCCTTCTCCTCAGTCCTGGAGCTCTCCAGAACCCTCTGCCCATCAGAACAGCTTCCTCAGTCCTTGACCTGCTCTTCTTCCAGGAAGCCTTCCTGACTGCTCCTGTACTGGGTTCCCAGGTCCTGACAGTCTCATTGATCTGGTCTGAGTACCCTAGCCCCAATCAAAGATCCACCCATTTACCAAGTCTGGGATGTATGACTCCCAGCTTGGAACACCTTGAGGAAATCCCCACAGACCAAGGAGGGTTTAAAAAAAAGCAGAGTGTAAGGGAAAGAAGAGGCTCCCACAACCCTCTAACCCCATTGGGCACCTCAGTGTGAAGCAGTTCCCGCCTCCGGCCAGGGGGCTCCGCTGCAAAGAGATATGTGTGGTGAGAACGGGGCAGCCAGAGGCCGTGGCAGGACGTGGTGCTGGGGCGACCTCACCTGCCAACAACAGTAGCAGCTCCCCCAGGCTGTGCTGGTATAGGTCCAGGGCCTCTTGTTCTCCGCCAGCATCCTCCTCCTGTGACCACATGGACAACAGGCAGTTCAGCACCATGACCTGGACTCCTCCCTGTCCTACCTGGATCTCTCCCACCAGACACTCACCTTGGCCAGGGCAGCTGAAGCTACTTCCAGGGCAGCTAGGAGGCGCGGCTTGTCCCGGGCCATCTCTGGGACAAGGGTGCAAAGGCTCAGGGTGAGGGAAGCTGCCTGTCTTCTCTCCTCTGGAGTACCCCCAGGTGTGCCTCCCCCTTAGGATAGGAGGAGGTTTGCTGGGGGCCTGGTGGGCCAGTCAGGGAGCAGGGTGTACCTTTGAGCAGGTCTCGGGCAGAGGTTCCCTGCCTTAGCAGGGCCTGATTGGAGGAGGAGACGAGAGCCTTGAGCTCCTCTGCCCTGGACACATACTGTCCCACCTGTAGGATGGAGCAGGGCTGAGGAGGACTGAGGATGCCAGGCTCCTTCCATGGGTCACACTCGCCAGCACCCACCTCCAAATCCTTCCCCTGGGCCTCAGGCCTTGCTCACGCTGTAATCATGTCAGGGCTCAACCGACGTGCTCAAGGAGAGGAAGCTCAAGTTCTGCAAGGCTTCCTCAGAGGCCCTGGGACCCAGGACTTCTCATACTCACTCTATTTCTTCATCAAGACTCTCACTCTCACTCACCTTTGCCTTAATTGCCTCCTTCCGCTGAGCATCCACTTCATCTATGAATGTAGAATTTATATGAGGAGTCTGCGGGGAGCTCCTACCCTACTTCAAACCCTCCAGGACACTCAAAGGCACCCAGTTCCAGGTTTATCCTCTCGATGGGAGGTGCTGGAATCCATTCCTGGCTGCTCTGGCTGCCCCCACCCTTGCTGCTCCCAGGGCTCCAGGCTGGCCCAGCACTCACAGTGCAGGGCAGGCACGAAGAAGTCCAGGGCCTTGCAGTAGAGAGACAAGGCGGCAGCTGCATCCCCCTCCTGGTCCTTCTTCACGGCCTGCACCACCAGTGCGGTCTGTGGGACAAGTGATCAGCAGATGGGCCCACATGCTAACCTCTTTCTTCTATGCTCCACCAGGAAAATCAGGCCCAAGCCACCCTTGCTCACCGCTTGGGCTAAGCTCTCTCCACTGGGCATATGCTCCAGATCCACCCAGGGATGGGCGAAGAAGTCCTGAAAGGAGATGCGGCGGCTGGGGTCCCGCTCTAGGAGCCGCTGCAGCAAGTCCCGGCAGTCATGGGAGAGAGAAGGCCGCATGGGGAGCTGCAAGGCCAGTGCCCCGATTATACCAGGCTCCAGCATCTCAGACCCTGGAGCAGGGGCCTGCAGGATGCCCCTGAGGTACACAACTGACAGGTGGAGAATCTGAGCTCCAGGAGGGAACAATCGCAGGCAAGGGGGTGGTGCCAGAGAGAATCAGGCCTCTTTCCCTGACTCCTCCCAGACCCTCACTGCCCTCAGTTGTATATACAATCAAGGGGCCTCTCAGACTGTGACTGTGGAAAGGTTGGCCTGGGTTTGCTTTTCTTTCTCCTCACAGGCGGCCACACACATCTCTCTGAGGTGGGCTCTGTGTACCCACTGTGGACTGATCTGGGGCCCTGATAGCCTCGACTTCCAGTGGCCTGAAACCCACACTCCTGTCTGTGGCAGATGGGAATGAGGTCTCCAAAGTCAAAGTCTAACTCTCTCCATCCCCACCCCCAACAGTTGCCAGACCCACCTCGATCACCCGGTTGCTGCGGATCTTCTCTTCCAGCTCCGAGAAGGACCTGGAGGCAAAGGGGGGCTGCCCGAAGAGGGCTTCTGTGGAAGGGAGGCAGAGGGGAGGCTGGAAGGGGACAAGATCAAGCCTGGCCTGGCCTGGCCCATTACTAGGGAAGGGGCTGTATACACCTCAGAGCTGAGGATCCAGGGAGGTAGAAAGAGTGTTCTCACTTGAACCCCCCGAGAGCAGCCCAGAGAAGCCTTGCCCTAGGACACACAGTGCAGACCCTGGAGTGGGGCACAGGAGAACAGAGCTCTTACCATACAGAATGACCCCCACAGACCAGAGGTCCACACGGGCATCGTACTGCCGCTGACACACCATCTCTGGGGCCATGTAGAGGGGGGAGCCACGGAGGACATGCTTCTCGTCCCAGGGGGACATGTGCTGTGCAAAGCCAAAGTCTGTAAGAGACCAGGCACCTGAGCTCAAATCTCAGGTACTCCCACTCCTGGTCATTATGACCTCTTCCCTGGGATCCATCTGCGGCATCAATCCTACTTCCCAGCCTTTGCTCAGCCTGAAACACCATTCTTCTTGATTACACTAGTTAAGTGGGCAAGCCCCCACTGGGGCTAGAACTCTCCCTTGCTGCCCCACTAAGCTTAGATGATGCCACATTCTCTGGCCTTAGGCAAATCTTAACCAAATCTGTCAGTAGCCACAACCATTACTGTTCCCCTAATTGCACACCCTCCTACCATGTTATAGAAAGAATCACACATTAAGCTTTAACCTCACTCATTACAAAGTCAAGTGTGCATGATGAGAAGTCCTGTTTTTTGATGACAAGCCCTTGCTCTCCCAGCCTGCCACTGTGTGACTCAACAGACTGCCCTATAAGACAGGATACAGAGTGAGGGTGGTCTCAGGGACATGTGGTTTCCCTGCAAATCTTAACCCTGTTGGTCCAGACACAGACCTGCCAGTTTGAGGTGGGGCTTCTCCAAGGAGCTCAGCAGTATATTCTGTGGCTTCAGATCCAGGTGGGAGATGTTCCGTTCATGCAGGAACTGCAAGGCACTAGCTGGGGAGGAGGGACCCATGCAGACAGACAGACAGGTTAGAGGTGCCATCTCCCACCTGCCTCTTCAAGTTCACACAACCCTCTTGGCCTGGCTGAGTCACTGAGTGCTTCACATACATGTTCTAGGCTCCACTTCACTTCTGAGGGTCTCCGCCCTGCCTGGAGTGTCCTCCCTGCTCCTTTCTGCCCTCTCACAAGTGTCCCCAACCCCAAGAAGCTTTCCTGGATGTCCTTGCACTTTTGGATCTTCCTCTTTTTTTTTTTTTCCAAAACACTGGAGTCCTTCCCACTGGGTTCTGAAATGTTCTACAAGGTCTTTATAGAATGTTGTACCCATGGAAGCCTGAATGCCCACAGATAAAGAGTTTTCTCCTTTTATATTCCTCACAGCATCCTTGAGCTAAAGAGCTCTGGTAGTCTAGGGGGAAGGAGATGCACTACCAACCTAAACACAAGCAGTTTGAATCCACCAGCTCTCTGAGAAAGATGAGCAATCTCTTCCTGTGTGATTTAAGGCCTCTGAAAACTCCCTGGATGGTCAGCTATGAGCTGACTCCATTCCAACTCAACAGCACATAACAGTATCATCTTTGAGCCAGCCACAAGTGGGCACCTGGGATAGACAGAGCCCTATAAATCCATGCTAGGGGAGGACAATGCAAAATGTGTCAGGGCTCCAAGCCTGGGGCAGGTGGTGTGGCACAGGAGTGATGTAAGCTGGGGTCAGAGGCTTTTACCTAACTGCTGCATGAAGATGCGAGCCACCTTCTCAGGCAGAATCCTGCGGGTGTGGATGAAGCGAGATAAGTCACCGCCTGCACAGAACTCCATGATGAGGTAGATGTTGTCACTGTCCCACTGAGGTAAGAGGTAGAGAGGTAATTTAAAGAGAGTGTCCCTTTTCCAGTTCCCAGTGGACCTCCCCTTGCAGAACAGGACTGCACCTGGAAGTCTTTCAGCTGTACAATATGGGGGTGTCGGATGCCCTTGAGGATCTCGATCTCTGTCAGGAGGTTTTCCACAGATGCCTTGTTCAGACTTTTCTTGGCCACGCACTTGATGGCTACCACCTCACGCGTGTCTTTCTGGAAGGGCAGAGGATTTGGGGACTCTGTCTTGAGGCGGCTGGAGCATGTGCCTGGCTAGAGGAAGGACCCTGATTCCTTCTGCCCCAAATCCCTCTCTGGGCCCATCCACTCCAGACCAGCACCCTATTTCTCCCTTTCCATCTAACGAGTCATCCGGACTCTGGAATCCCAGCCCTGCCTGAAATTCTCTGCTCCATAACCCATTTGATTGCATTCGGAGTGACCAGCTAAGGCATGTCTCTCTGCATTCTAGAACTGCCCACTCTCCCCTAACCCCGCCCAGGCTTCTAGAACCAGTCCCAGACTCCTAATCCTCCGGATCCTCCTTGTTTTGAGCCTGTCACAGACGCTAAGACTCCATTATGCTCTCCAACCCCGTAAGGATGTTGACCCAGCGCGACAGACTCGACAGGGACGTGGACGCCTGTTTTTAAAGCCCGAGGGTGGCGGTCAGGGAAACCTTTCCATAGGCGTCCAGTCTGGGGCAAGGCAGACCTCCAGCCCACAGCTATTCTCACGCCGTCTCCAGCCTCTCTCCTCGCTCCACACCAGGCAGACGGCTGGACTTATTCAGGGTTTGGCCGGCCAGGAGCCAGGTTGTCAGAAAGTTCTCCTCGTGCCCCCTAGTGCGCCCCTGCACCTCCAATTCCACCCTCGCACAAGAGCCGGCCGCCTCGGCGGCGCCCCGCCCCCGCACTCACCTTGGCATAGGCCTTGTACACAGTGGCATACGTGCCGCTGCCCAGCCGCTCGGTGAGGATGAAGCCGTCCAGCCGCGGGGGACCCCAGCCAGGCCCGGCCATCCCAACCACCCACCCCGCACCCCAGCTCAGGTGCTTCCTGGTTCCCGGTGCTGGGTTCCGGCTTGGAGCGGGGTACAGGAGCACCGGGCCGCAGGGACCGACTCCATGCTGCCCCCAGTGCCGCCCGCCGGGAGTGCAGCACGGAGGAAGGGGGCGGGGCGGGGGCGGGACATGCGTGCTCTTTCCCCGCCCCAGCCCTTCCCCTTTGTCTGCTGCCTTCATCCCGCCCGAGTCTCTTCTCCAGACTTCACTGTAAATCACGTGATCAGTCAGTTTCTCTCACAGACACCCAAGTCCTGCGGACCTAGCAGAGACAAGTCGAGCCTGGCAAACGAGGTCACTCGGGGACTCCCACCGATCTCATCCTGAGTGGCAGTAGTAGATTCAAAGAGGCCCCTCCCCGTTCCCACACGGCTCCTAGTGAGACCTGAAGCTCAATGTAGTATCGAGACAACGAAAGACATTTGGAAAAGGACAGGATGTCCTTTTTAGGGATTCCATCTGTCATTCCCTCCCCTGGGCATGATTTGCTTCAGACCAGACAAGGAGTCAGATGACCAGATGCAGGAGCACTCTACATCTCCCTCTGGTGCTGGAGTCCCTCAGCCCCCCCACCCCTCACACCATGTTGTGCTCCCAAGTCCACCACCAGACATTAGGACCAGTATTGTCTGAAAATCGTCTTTTTATTTAAGCACAAAAATTGAGATAAAACATATACATTTTGTACATGGGGAGAAATATCAGAAAGAGTTTACAAAACCTTGGTCACTCATCATTCAGTGGGTCTGGGGCTAAATGGGCTGATAGCCTCAGGGGCCAGACGCAGGAGGTGGTGGGCTACCTTGATTAGAAGGCCCTCAGCCCATATATATCATGTAGGTTCTAACCAGAGACTTCTCAGAGTATACCACAGTGTCACCTCCTGGTTTCCAAGGACAAGTAAAAGGTCACCTAGACTTTATTGGAGGCATGGGTGAACCCTGGAGGCTTAGTCTGGAATCTTCAGAAAAATGGCTCTTCAATCTATTCTGAAGGGTACAGTTTTGGGCTCAGACCCTGCCCTGCTCTTTCCAAAGGTCACACAAGCTCGTTATTAATAATGGGAGATGGGAAAGGAGGGGTCAGAATCTGACGCTAAGGCAAATGGCAGTTGTGCCTCATGAGAAGTCAAGACAAATTAAAGTCAAACAAACCACACGAGGAGAGTCAGACCTCACCCTCCCAGAAGACTGCTAGAGGCTCGGAGCAATGTGAGGGCAATGTCCTCTAAATCCTCCCCTTGCCACCCCCTAAATCTCAACCCCCACTGAACATGCAGTGAGTCTGAAGCAGGAAGGCCCAAGGATGACTCTACAGGGCTCTGGAAGGTATAGCCCACACCAGGGGCCTAAAGGGCAAAAAATCTGTGAGGAAAAAAGAGGGATGGATGAGGCTGGACAGCCAGGACAGAGGCTGTGGAAGCCCAGGAACCATCCCAAAGTGGTCTGGGGAAGAGAGCTGACCACTTGACCAACCTGCAGCTCCTCTGAAGTGTAACTCTTGAGAGCTACTGAGCCTGGGCAAGAAGGCAGGCTCAGAGAGTGGAAGACACAGGCTGGCTCTGTGCAGCCATCTTTAGGTTAGGCTCCTGGTATAGAGTCCCAGGACCCTGGAAGAAGTAAGACTCCAGAGGGGGTTTGCCCAAGGCAGCCAATGACACCCAATATTGTGTGTTTGTTAGGGTGGGGGTAGAGAGACTTCAGTCTCATTGCTTCCAGACAGACAGCAGAACCCTATCAAACCACCACCAGAGAAGAATGTTGTGGTGTTTTTTCTTTTCTCATGTAAAAATAAGTCCCTTCCCCCTTCACTTCCCCTCAGGTGGGAGAGCTTATTGCTGAGGGAGCAGGAAGAACCATGGCAAGACCTTCCTCAGGTCTGTGCTAGGCATAATCACCATATAAGGCACCCACGGAAAGTGCAGCTCAGAAGGCAAGTGAGAGAAAAGGCTGGGGCAGAGGGAGGCGACAGAGCCAGGAGGGCTAATTCCCCTGGAAGGCTCCTCGGGCAGCAGATGAGGCAGCACCACGGAAGGTCCTGTTGCTGAAGATGCCCTGGGAAAACTCCTCCTGGGCCTGCTGGAAGCTGGCCCCCGTCCGTCGGTATAGGGAATGCACCTGGGGAAAGAGGCAGGCATGAGTGGCACATGAGCGGTACCCCAGGAACCTTGCTAGTTTAAACCTCCAAAAGGGCTTCTAGGAAGCCAAACCTACTGACATCTACCTAGAGCCACTAAGGAGGCTGCTGGATGTTTAGGATGCCCAGGGGACCCAACTGCAGTGATAAAGACGTTTCAATGTCCCGAGGACCTGAGTGCAATGATAAAGACTAGCCCTGGTGGGAGAAGCAGTGGTTTCTATTGGTCCAGGTCCTTCTCTCCTCTACTCACCCGTTTCAGAAGAAAGAGTGCAAGCACGGCACAGAGAGTGAAGAAGCCAGCCACCACCATCATGATTACTGACACGGCCAAGGGGTCCTGCTTCAGTGTAGACAGGGCTGCGATCCAACCACTACAGAGGGAGGGAGAAACCAGAGACATTTAAGTGAGTGTGGCTGACGAGTCCTGCCACCATCTGGGCATCCTCGCAGCACTCAGCCCTGTGCCCTAGATGCACTTGGCCTGTGAGAGACCAGGCTTCTTTGAGCGTATGGGCCTCAGATGGATTCACACGGGAATCCTGGTGCCATGAAACATGAGAGGGAAGAAGTGACTGCTGCCCTCACAAAGGAGTAGCACTAGACTGGGCCTGTTTCTCATGCTCGGGAGTAGACGGAGAGGGTATGGAAGGTGCACTTACTTATGTCTGAGGGTGTGGCCCCCAAGAAGAACCATCACTAGACAACCCACTGTTACCCTGTTCTTTCCAAAAGGGCCCTCTACCTTCTTCCCTAAGCTCTTTCTTCAATCACATCACTCCCTAAGGCCTACCTACTGTCCTCATTTGTAAAAGGGGACAATATCCTTATGCTTCCCTATTTCCAAACTTAACATAAAACTATGATAATCAAAACAGGTTTGCACAGGGAGAGCTGGTGGCCTAGTGGCAAGAAGCTGTGCTGCGATACCAAAGGCACATTGTTCAAATCTACAAGATGCTTAAAAAAAAACAACCAAAAACCAACAACAAACCAGTCTGGCAAATGGCATAAGGACAGACATAACAGATCAACAGAATTGAAAGCGATAAAAAGGCTGAGTCCATTCAAAGGAAAAAAAAAAGTCTTTTCAACAGACAGTGGTGAGACAACTAGACAACCACATGGAAAAGAATGAAGATGGACCCTTACTTCAAATTACATATAAAAACAAAAGAAACCAAATTTGGTCAAAGACCTAAATACAAGAGTTAAAACTGTAAAACTTAGGGGGGAAAAGCCAATGAAGTAAACTCTTGAATTTTTGCCTTGGCTTTGGTTTCTTAGATATGACATCAAAACAAAATAGAGATTCGTAAAAATGAAAACATTTTGTGTCAAAGGTCATTATCAAGACAGTGAAAAGAATCTTCAGAATGGGAGAAAATATCAGCAAATTATACATCTGATAAGGGGTTGCTGTTGTTGTTTGCCATGGAGTTGGAACCAACCCATAGCTAACCGACCCTCCAGCAGGGTTTTCAGAAGCAGTAAATCACACGGTAGGAGACTGGCCATCCTCTCCAGCGGAGCAGCTGGTGGCTTCAAACTCCATACCTTTGGGACTGTAGCTTCTTACCACTAGGCCACCAGAGTATTCAATATATAAAAAAAAGATTCTTACAACTGTATCATCTCACCCCAGTAAGAAGAGCAAAATTTAACAGAACAGCAAGCAACAAATGCTGGCAAGGTTGTGGAGAAACTGGAACCCTTATTCACTGGTGGTGGGAGTGTAAAATAGTGCAACCACTGTGGAAGGCAGTATGGCGCTTTCTCAAAAAGTTGCAAACAGAGATACCATTTGACCCAGCAATTCCACTACTGGGAATATACCCCAAAGAGACCATAACTGCTACCCAAGCAGATATATGCACACCCAAGTTTACTGCGGCTTTGTTCACGATAGCAAGGAGTTGGAAACAACCCAAGTGCCCATGAACAAACAAATGGATAGAGAAGCTGTGGTATAGTCACACAATGGAATACTATGCTGCATTGAAAAACAAGGAACTTATGCAATATTATTCAAAATGGGTGACCCTGGAAGACATTATGCTGAGTGAATAGCTCAGTCATAAAAAGAGAAATACTACATAGTGCCACTATTGTAAAGCAGGACTGACATAAGGGTTGCGGTAAGACAGAAAAACAGGATACATTACGTATACTGCATTGAGACAGATGAGGGAGAGAACAGTTTAAAAGCGATATATGATAAGGTATTACGGTTATCACAAGAGTCCAGAATTAAGGCTGCATAGTGGAGTATACTTGGGGTGGGGGTGGGGTGAGGGAGTGGACTATATATCAATGAAGGAATTTTTCTTTTACTTTTCAAAGGGAGGAGTGAACTGGTGGGGAGAGGTGGTTAGGGAGAAAAGTGCAACAAGGAATGAATGACGAAGGAAATCCAAAATCTCTGTAAATGTTCATTAAAATTAATAAAATTAAATTTTAAAAAAATTCTTACAAGTCAACAACACAAAAGCGCCTCAATTTAAAAATGGGTAAAAGATTCGAACATATGTTTTTCCAAAAGAAAAATACAAGTAGCTAATAAGTATATAAAAAGTTGTTCCACAGTATTAGTCATTCAGAAAATGAAAATCAAAACCACAATGATACCACACACTTTGAGTGGCTATAGTAAAAAAAAAATTAAAATGGAAAATAATTGTTGGTGAGGATGTAGAGTTACTGGGACCTCCTGCTGGTGGCCTAGTACTTGGGGGTTGTGTGGACAACCCAAAGGCAGGTGGTTCAAATTTACCAGCTGCTCAACAAGAGAAAGATGGGCACTCTCCTCTCATGTAATGTATAGTCTCTGAAAAACCTTTGGTGGGTCAGCTGTGAGCTGATTCCAACTCTCCAGCAATGAATTTTAAGCATTGCTGGTGAGAGTGTGAAATGGTGCAGCTGCTGGGGAAAAGTTTCATAGTTCCTCATTGAACAATTCCATTCATAGGTCATATACCCAAAAAAACTGTAATAGGTAAACACATCTTACACATGAAAATTCACATCAGCACTTCTGATGATGGCCGAAAGGCAGAAATAGGCCCAAATATCCATCAACTGATGAATGAAGAAACAAAATGCTGTATATTCATCCAGTGGAATATTATTTGGTCATAAACACCAACAATGTATTGTCACATACTGCAACATGGATGGACTTTGAAAACATTTTGCCAAATGGAAAACAGTAAGACATACAAAACCACCTATTATATGTAAATGAACTACCCAGAATCAGCAAATTCAGAGAGAAAAAAGCAGAGGATGTATGTGGAAGAGGGGACTGGGAGTGAGTGCTTATTGGTTGTAGTGTTTCCTCTGGGAACTAGAAAGGAATGGTAGTGAGCAACATTGTGAATGGACTAGCTGCCACCAAATTAGATACTTTAGCATAGTTAAAATTGTATTTTGTTATATATATTAAATAACCACAAAGAAGAGAAGGTGAGGCAGATGAAAGAATGGCCATGGAAGGCTCTATCTAGAAAGGCACAAAGAGCTGGAGACTGCAAAGCTCATCTACTCTCACAGTAAAGGACAGAATAAGGAAGGGAACCCAAGTTGCTGATTCCCAGGTTGAAGGTGCAAACATCAGCAGTTATTAATCACAGCTGTCTGCCAGGATCTCGTGAGTAATGAAATGAGGTCACTGGTTAAAAAAAAAAAAAAAAAAGAAAAGAAAAGAAAAAAAAAGAACTGGACTAGAAAGAACAAGACAAGAAGAGCAGGACAGTGTGCCTGGGGTGCAAGGTGAGCCAGTCCTCCCCACTGCTTGCGACTTGCCAACTCTGGTAGCAGGAGGGGACCAAGATAGTACAGCCTTTCTGACAGTGCTGATCCGACCTTTCTGCAGTGTGCCCTGTGCACTGGGGCAGAAAGAAAAACATCAGCCATCAGCTCTTCTTTTTGAGACTAATTTTGAACTAAAAACTGCAGCATCCAAGAAATTCAAGCCAGCTTTATGGTCCAAGAGGGTGGCAAGAAGCAGCCTCTCTGGGAAGGTGCCTTCATCTGAATCACAGGAGCCCTGATGAAAGTCACAGCACTTTCCTGGGGCCTGTGAAGTTGAACCAGCCTGGAGGAAGGTGGGGCAGAAGATGAGGAGTTTCCAGTTCAGTGCAGGGCACAACACTGGGAGATTAAGGACTTATGGTAGATTTACTCATGACATTTCAGAAAATGACAAACAAGGTAAGACGGTAAGCAACTGCTGCTGAAGAACTAGGCATCCTGGCAGACAGCCTGGCCCACAACCATACTGATTCACCCACCCATCTCCAGGCTATGGTGGGAGGAGGGTCATCTGGGAGCTAGACAATAGGGTGGAAGAGGCTGTGCCCACATCTAAAGCTTAATTCTCTCCGTGCTGCCTCAGGTCTCACCTGTCCCCTAGCCCAGGGATGCCGACCATTTGGATGATGTAGATCCCTATTTGACAGAAAAATATAAAGAAGAACACGAAGAAGCTGAAAGAGTTGTCTGACCTGTGGAGAGAGAAAATAAAAAGTCACAAGAGGACCTTGGCCATGTCCCTCTGTATTCCTCATATGACATGACAGCTGTAAAACCAAGGAGACCAGCCCAGGTGACCAGCCACACTGCCTGGAGAAGACTGACTCTCTCTCTCTCACACACACACACACCAGCCACACTGCCGCGAGAAGACACTCTTTCTCTCTCACTCACACACTGCCTAGAGAAGACTGTGCTCGCTCGCTCTTTCTCTCTCTCTCACACTCACACACACACACACACACACACACACGTGGGGGGTGGGGGAGCTTACTAGTTACTGCTTTCCAATCTAAAAGGTTTCTAATCCAGAGCTGAAGAGTCTCTCCCTCAGAAAATAATAGAGTTTTATGTTCCATTTCCTAGAGCATTTATTTGTATTTCATAATGTTGTTGTTATGTGCCGTTGAGTTGCTTGTAACTCATAGCGACCCTATGTACAACAGCCCTAAACTCTGCTCTGTCCTGTGCCAATCACACCGTCTCCGATACACCCATCCCAATTACCCCAGTCACTGAATCAATCCACCTCATAGAGGGCCTTCCCCTCCTGCGCTGTCCCTCCACCCTCCCAAGCATGACGTCCCTCAAAACAAAAACAAAAACAAAAAAAAACAAACCACCAAAAATATTAATTTCTAAAGATAAAAATGGTAGGGGTGGGTAGAGTAGGAAACACCAGACAAAACTCCAAAAGGGCTGAACTCCTCTATCTTGAATCCTTGCGGCCTAGAACACAGTTAGGGTTTAAGTCCTCTGCTAAATGCATGGGATGGTCCAGCCACCAACCCACCCCTTCTGCCTTGGGCCTAGGGAGCTCTGGTAGCCTAGAGGTTAAGAAGTGGTGTTGCCAATCCAAAGAGAGGCAGTTCTAATCCACTAGCTGCTCTGTGAGATAGGCAATTCCTCCTGTGCTATTTACAGCTTCTAAAAACCAACTGGAGGGTTAGCTATGAGTCAGTTCCAACTCAATGGCAATGAGCTGAGTTTAGGATTCCAGGCTTGGAAATATCAGGTCTGAGACACCATTTCAGAAGCCCTGTGGGTCTGTAAGGTAGACTCATTTCTGTAAGGAAATAAAGCGAGGTGAAAGGAAGAGGTACAAAATGAGCCAGGACAGGCTGTGATGGTGATACAGAACCTAGAGCCTCAGAGGGCAGGCAAGGCTCCTGATCCTGCTCTCTGGGTCTCTCAGGCCTAATGCAAGGACAAGCCCCTGATCCCTGTCTGCTCCACTGGTGGGAATGGGAACTTGTCACCATTCTAATCTGCTCTAAGACTGGGACAGGGCTCCAGGCATTATGGCCCCACTTGAAGTGCCAACCTAATCTTACTCACCAGCGCCACAGCCCACTTACCTAAAGGCCTTATAGATGGGACGATACCAACAAAGGAAGGCACAAGGGGTGAATATCAGAAACCACAAGATAGAGAGGCCAAAGTCCACTCCCTTGGAAGCATCAGCTGTGAACCAGGCCAGGCAGGCAAGCAGGTTCAGAAACAGAGTCACTGAATGCACTGTGGAGGGAAGAGAGATTAAGATGGGTTTGTATCAGAGTGGCTGGCTGAAGGGCTCCCGATATGTCACTCCCTGGGAGAGGACATGAGATCCACACTGTGTATGAAGCTACAGAAACACTAGAAGGCTCTAGGCAAGGTCATTTCCCAAATCCTGGTATTCTGGGATCACACACAGGATCCTAAGCTAAGATCCTAAGGAAGGCTAGGGAACCCAGATATTTTGGGGGAAGGGTGGGTGAGTGCAGACTCAGAACTGATCCCTGAGAAATAACGTCTATCTGCAACTCTGTTCCCTGGCCCTAGATGGCTTACAACTACAGAAGGAGCCTTTGTTTTTGTTCATTCTTAGAAGCCTGGGGCTCTACAGGGAAGAGGCAACTGCCTCTCTAACCTAAGAATTATTTGAGTACAGTGAGCTCCCCAGGAAGCTCAGTTAGCTAGTCCTACCCTACCTAGATAGGTATAGAATACTCCTGTAGGTAGGACAGGAGTAGACAGGGAGAATAAATTTTGTGGCACAAGGTACCTCCCCACCGGGTCCAGCCCGAGGTTGGGTGGAGCTACAGAAGGCTAGGAGGAAGCTCTGTGAATTAGGGAGAAGCAGGGAGAGGACAGAGTTCCGCTTCATTTCACCCGTGGGCTCCCCAAGGCAGGAGTGGGACTCACACATCCACAGATAGTAGAGCATCTTGCATATCCTCTGGTAGTCGGCAGGGATCTCTGTGGAGAAATCCTGGTAGAAGCAGGGTTTGATGGGACACCAGGACGGCAGGGGTGGCCAGTTGTTCTCTCTCACTATGTGGAGAAGAAAGAGCAAACAAGATGAGGCCCAGCCTCAGTAGCAGCATCCAGGGGTGTACAAAGGGCCCAGTTGTGGGGTCAAACCAGGGCTTCCAGAGCTGGGGCCCAGGATCTTCATGGAGCATCAGTGGGACAGGAAAAGGGTGACAGTACAAAGAGACAAAGATGCTCACTCCTAGACAATGGACCCAAACTCACTGTGAAAGAAAGGGGCAAAATGGCATACGTGATTATTAACAACCAGCCCATACACATAATAACAGGGGTCACTGTCATGAGCAAGGAATTGTGGGATCAATGCTCCCACTCTATCCAAGAACCAAAGTCACTTAGAGCTAGAAAGGAGTTCACAAATCAACTACATCCTCCAAGACTCTACTCAGGCTCCTGACTTATAGCTTCCAGCTATACCCCACACAGAGCATTCTGAGGTGGTCAAGAGCTCAGCAAAATTGTTGAGGCTGCTCCAGGCCCACGCTGGCTCAGGATGAATCCAGGGAGGGTCCTCCCTACAGAGCTCCTGAAATTCTCTGGCCCCACAACACAGGCCTCAGAAGTCCCAGCAGCCTCTCTTACCGTGTAAATTGGCCACAGAGTTCTGCAGCTCCCGCTCCTTACGATCCAGCTCAGCAGCTTTCCTGTCCAGCTCTTCCTGCTGCCGAAGCAGGCCTGCCTGTGCTGCAGAGGCAACAGCCTGGAGGGAACGAGGGCAGAGGGAGCGACCAGATGCAAAAAAAGAGGGATAGCATCAGTCAGGGAAGGAAGAGGGGCCTTGCCCACGGTAGGAGAGCCAGCAGGGAATCCCAGAAAAGTCTAAGCCACACAAGAGTATCTTGGGTACTACAGTCCCTCTCACTGCCCCATCTTACCTCAGGGTCCTTAGAAGCACCAGAGCTCTCGCCTTCATCCCTACACCTGAGACTGAACTATCTCCAGTGGCTTTCCCTCTCCTCTCCACACTAGATTCAGGCATGTAGTTACACTGTTACCTTTAGGGGTAGAAGCAAATGGAAAAGGACCCCCCAAGAGTCTAGCCTGTAGCCAGAAACCAGGACTAAAGCCTCCTCTGAAGAGCCTGGAGGACTTTAAGTGAAGGTAGAGCAGTGAAAGCTGGCCATCAGAGGGGAGGGAAGACTGATTCCTGAAGCTGAACAGGTACCTGAACATCATTTCTATTTAAGCACCTCCTGAGAGAATCAGCTGAGCTATGACCAGCTATTGCCTAGGAAGGCCCTGTAGGCTTGGCCTTTCATCAACTTGCACAAGCATCGCTTGCAAACATTATCTGCTGTCCAGAATGAAAAGGCTTTTAAGTGAGGCTGAGCAGAGAACTGGTCCCAGGGCCCAGGCGTTCTTGTCCAGGGTACTACTGCTCATTTGTAAAGAGATCACAGTATTTGGTGAAGGGACAAAGGAAAAGATGAGGGCAGGGAGGACTATATGAGGTACTGAGGAAAAGATTCTGAGATCTGAAGAGGGGAGAACAAAGCCAAAGGTTTGAGTTGCCTCTGGAGCAGCACAGCAGAAGCAGATACAGTTTCTGAAGATACCAAGAGAAGTTGGAGAGTGGTGGGTGATCTGGCAGGGAGAGCATTATCAGTTGGCCAGGTGGTCCCTACCATTTTAAAGATTAAAGTGATCATTTCTAAAGAAATCAGCAAGAAGACCCTTCCAAGGGAGCCAGAGATGAAGGTGCTCTGCCTACCCTAGCCTCGGGGCTGAGTTGCTAGTCTAGGGGGCCCCTCACTGGAGAGGAAAGGCCCAAGGGTCTCTGTCAAGTACCTGGGGTGTTGGCTGTGTTGGCTCCACTGAAGGCTGGAGCACTGCCGGCTGTGAAGGCTGTGTGACTGGAACCGTTGTTGCTGTATTTGTCTGTGTGGGATAGATCAGAAGAGGAATGTGACTACGGCAAGCACACACACAGCAAGCAGAGTTCCAAGCCTGACGCCAAGAGCATACACACTGCTAGGCCTTGGCCTCTGTCTCCCTTGGGGCCTGACTTGGGCCTCTGCTACTCCCTATCTAATGAGACCCCAAACCCAGCATCCCTGGGCCTAGGTGAATCCAGAGCACACTCCTCTCCCTTCCTCAGGGGAGGTTGTTCTGCTCAGGGAGAAACTCAGATCATGGATCCCAAGGGGAGAATTTCAGAAAGCCTTTGATGACCTTCTCCTCCTCACTCCCACCCAAGTTCATGGTCTTTGCCAAGACCCCTTGTCCCAGAAACCCCAGCAAGACCCAGAGCGCCAGGGTACTCAGAAAGAGAGCATGCTCACCAACCTCTGTGAAGGGGTTGAATTCAGCCAGGCCACCTTGGGGGGCATTGGTCAGCTGCGTCACAGAGGGATCCTGAGAAGACATAAAAATAACCATTTGGAAGAGATAGGAACTTTCAGGTGAAGTGTAGGAAAAGTGTGGCCAGTTTGAGGGATCACCAACTCTTGGCCCTTCTGGGCCAGCATGCAGTCCTGCTGACATCTAGCCGGAGTGAGGTGTGGACTGCCCTTTCTAGTGCCCGGACAAATCACTCCCAAAGGACCTCTGCCTGCCCCTACCCACGCTAGTTTCTTCCCACTTCTAGAACATGAGGCATTCAGCCCAGCTGGCTCCCCAGGAGCAACACAGAATCAGCTCTACACCCAGAAAGAAACCTAAGAACAGACACCAACATGCCCTTCTCAGCACTCTTCCCAGAGCTCAAACCATTAACCGTATTTACCTCCACGGAGTGGGTTGTTTTGTGCGTGGGATGAGGTGATGGTGAGGGTGGAACTCTACTTTTCACTTTATAACCTTTCTTCCTGGTTTTCTTTAATATCTGGCTAAAAGCATTTATTCCTCTTAATTTTTTTCAACAAAGCTCAGGCTCTGGAGCACTTGCCCCTGGCTAGCTACGTTTTCCTACCAAAAGCAGGCAAAACCTGTCATAAGTAGAGAGGTGAAGAGCTCAACTGGAAATAAAAAAAAACAAAAACAAATCTCAAAATACTTTCTGGCTTTTCCCCTCCTTCCCTGATTATGATTATTATTTTGAATGCAAAAGTGTCCTCCATCCAGTCTTGCTGAGTTTTTCTTCCCTTTCCCCTCTGATCACCATATGAAGCTGGGCCTTCAGACCAGGCTGGCACAGGGCTCTAGCTGGTCTTCAGCAGGTAGACGTCCTGCTGACCTGGAGCTGGCTTGTCTTCCTCTGACACACATAGGATTCAGTCCAGCTTGCCAAGGACGCCTGGCTTGCGAGGAATAGCTGTGAAGGGCGAGGAGACTGCCACCAGATGCTGCCAAACCCTATTACAAGACTCAAACTAGCCTTGGGGGCCTGGAAGTGCAGCGTTCCTGTTCTCAGCACCTTGTCACCCTCACTGCTCATCCAGCTGCTCAAAGCCAGCCTTACCATTGGTGATAAGCCTCTGCAGACTAATCTCTTAGACACAATGTTAACATCAGATAAGATCAAGCCCTGAATTGACAGACGGAGAAAACTGCACTTGCCACGGTGAATGAAGAACTTGTCCCAGGTTTCAAAGTGGGGGTTTCCTGCCCATTCTGAACATCCATAACACTGAGGGTCAGCACTGAATGTGTTCTCTTTTTGACATTCACTAACTGGATCTTCTGATCTGAGCCCCAATTCCAGGTGGCAGCCCTTCCCAAAGCCTAGCCCAGAGCTGAGCACACAGCCCAATCTCACTCTCTGTTTCTTCACAGGAGTAGATTATTCTCTGCAGGCCCAATTCCTCACCAACTTCCTCTGCAAAAGATATCACACGTGTGTCCTTTCTGTGAGCCAACATTCCCTGCTCTGGGTGGTCCTTGCATCTGGGGCAGAGTGATGAGGCCACTTGAAAATGGAGGCATAGGCCTTAAGGTTATTTGTTGACAGAACTGGCATTTTTCTTCCAGAATTATGAGTCTGGCCTCCTGAGGAAGATTTGGGGCTCAGTATCTGTTCCTCTTTAAACTTTGCAGATACCAAGCCACAGGTGAGTGAGTGAGAGCCAAAATCATGGAAATTAGATCCACCCTCTGAGGAACAGGTCACTCAAGTCTGAGTCACTCACCACAGGAGGGGGAACAGAAAAGTGGTTCTGAGAATACTTTTAGGTACAGGAACACAAACACCTGGCCAAGGTCACACATTTAATAAGCATCTATAGGCCCGAAGTCATGTCATTTGCCAGTTAAAAGGAGTTTCTAGGAATGGAGTATGAGATGGAAGACTGATTGCTCTGCCCATGTAAGTATCTCCTTTCCCCCCCCCCCTTTCTTTTTTCTTCCTAAAATCTTAAAGGCTTGGTCCCTGGGCCCTTGAGTGGGTCGACCATGAACATATTCTATTATCTCTACTAGAAAGGTACATAAGCAGTCCAGTCAGTGCCAGATGCACCCAGTCCTAATCCATACTGGTATTAGTGAAGGGCCTAATGCAGAGCACAGCTCTGAAAATCAAAGCTGACAGCTGTAGTCTCCTATTCTCTCTAGATAACGCTGACCAAATGCCAAAGCAAAGGGACAGGGAAGACACCCGCATCACAGCAGCTGCACTAGAAGCACCTTACTGGGGAACAACAGTGGGATATGAGTATTCCCCTTATAAGACAACATGGACTCTTTCTTTTAATTTTTTTATTTTATTTTATTATTTGTGTGTGTGTACAGTCAAATCAGATCTGACTAGTACAGGAGGAGATTGTTCCTCCTTCTCCAGCAAAGCTTCTGGTGGATTTGAACCTCACTCCTCTGGGATTGCAGTGCAGCTTCTTGCCACTAGGCCATCAGAGCTCGCCTACATGGACTCTTTCTAAACGATATGGATGGCTTCAAGAAAAGCTGAGCCCTGGTCAGAGTGGGGAAGGAAAAGGGGATCAAGACGAGAGCGGACACTTACTAAGTGTCTACTACATGCCAGGCTATGACACGCTGACACTATAGTGAAAACCTATAATTGGCCACTGATACCAAACTGTCAGAAAAGAATGTTCTACCAGCTTTTGTGTGCCTAGTTTCTCAGGAGAACTAATTCCCTAAAGTATTCATTGTCCATAATGAATTACTTTCTCCTCTGTACATCTAGAATAGCATTAGTTCATCCTTATGAAAACTGAGAAAACTCATTCCAACCAGTTTCTGTGTTCTGTGGCTCAGATGAAGAATCTAGCTAGGAAGAGTATACACCTTCTTATTTAACCCTGGGAGGGAGGAGTTTTTCTTTTTTGGAAGAAAAAGCCCAAGCAGAGAGGGGAATTACTGTGCCCAAAATCTCAGAGGTCATGGTTAAGTCAGATTCTGTCTGAAACACATAAAACCTGTCTGTAAATACATAAAACCATAAATCTGAGAGGAAAAGACCCAGGTCCCTCTTGGTCACCAGTGCATTCCCAAAAGCCAGGCACTTCCACAAAGGAAGACACTCTGACATGCATGTGGTTGAATGAACGAACCAGCTCCAGAGGGACTCTGATGACGAGGCCAGAGAATGACCAGAGTGACGCCTGCTGCTCGGTTCTGTACACCTGGCCTTTAAAACGATGGTTTCTGGGAACATCTTTGGTAAGACACATGCAGAGAGGTGTTGTTATGTGCCACAGAGTTACCTGAGACTTACAGCGACCCTGTATACAACAGCCCTAAACCCTATTCTATACTGGGCTAATCTGTCTCTGACACACCTACCCCCATTAACCCAGTCACTCAAATCAATCCATTCATTCAGGGTCTTCCTTTCCTGCACTGTCCCTTCACCCTCCCAAGCATGATGCCCTTCTCCAAGGACTGGTCTCTCCTTGCAACAGGTCCAAAGTATGTCAGATGATGCTTCAGAATCCCTGCCTCCAAGGAGCAGCCTCTCCAGGACGAACCTGTTCATTCTCTTAGCAGTCCATGGTATATTCAATACTCCAGCACCCAGCTTAAAGGCATCAATTCTCCTTCTATCATCCCTAGTCACTGTCCAGCTCTCTGATGCATGCAGAGAGAGCCTTGCAAATAAGTACCACAGTGACGTGCTTGAATTAAGGACCATAAGCTTTTAATCCAGATCAACAGCACCAATGCTTCTTCTCATTCACCAAGCTTCAATTGGCTCTTCTTAAGTGGGTCAAGTAGTTGTTTAAAAGGATGGTAAGGGCTAAGTTTCACCTACAAAGGAGAAGTAACCTAAAACCCCTATGGTGCCTGAATGACTCAGACAGGCTAAAGCCCTTTACTGGATTTGTAACAAGTAAAAAGTTCCTAAACTACTTTTTTTTCCCATCCAGCCACAGTGAGTAGCAGTTGTGAGTGATACACAGTTCTTCCCTTTAGAGTCACAACCTGGTAAGCAAAGATGAGTGTGTGAGGGACCACAGGTGAGATGTGTACTGCCACAGAGGTCAGAGCAGATGAAAGCAAGCGGAGTAGAGGGAAGACAATGAGGAGGGCTGAAGGGAAGGCAGAGAGGAAGTGAACAAAAGCCTGAGCTGGTGAGGCCCACCACAGCTCTAGGTCAGGGTGCATTCCCATCTACCTGGGTGTCAGATAAAAGACAAGAGGAGGGTAGAGCTGGTTGGAGCTCTGTCTGGAAGAGTTCTGTTTTAAAACGGTTTGGAACTTTCTTCCTACATGTTTCACAGGCCCTGGATATGTGTGAGCACTGTTCTATTTTCCAACCCTGCACTCCACTCAAGCTCCCAGTGTGGAGATTTTGCTTCAGATCACAAATACTTAACAATAAATACCATCTGGGCTAAGACAAGCACAGGTCATTCTCTCTGGGAAGGAAGAGTCACTAATAATTTGATGCCTCTAAGATGTCCTATTAGCTTTGGAGATGAAGCAATTGTCCAAGTATGGGGGGCTAGGTCCTAAGCACACAATTAACCTAAGAGCACATAATTAACCTGAGAGTCCGTCCTAAGGAAATATGATAAAACCATGTAAAACATTGCATCTGCCAGGGCATTCAGTGCATTATTATTTGTAATAGGGGGGAGAGCAGGAAACAACTGAAATATTCCAAACAAACCAAGTACACTTTTTGCATATCCCTTAATGGCAGAAACAGTCAGGTTTTGGTTTAACCTGAATGTTCTGGTAAGAAGCCCCATTGGTGTGCTCCAGTAAGCATGAGTTCTAGCCAGATTTCACTCTCTCTATGTGAAATGCCAGAGACTTCACCTTGGTCTCCATGGAGGGTCCTTCCTCATAGCCGACCATGTTCCTTGAAGCAGGTCAGGAACATGGGCTCGGCGGGTCACATGTACAACACAACAACGGTGAGTCAGAGGAGGCTTCACTGAGGTGGTATCGGAGGGGGATGTTGAGATGAAGGAAATTTAGCAAGCGAGAGGAAGACAAGCAAAATCTGCAAA